GTTTTAGCGTCGCTGGGCCGGAGACAAGGTGCTGGCCGCATCGCGTGGCGGGGTACAGCGGCAGGTCGCCGCGAGCCGCGGATCGTAGTCGGAGTGGATTTGGGTCCGTTGAAGCTGATACGCACTGATCGGCGAGATAGGATGGAGCAATTTGATGGAGACTTTTCAAGACGAGTAGGCATAATTTATACGCAATCCTGTATTTAATAGGTAGCCGGTGCAGCTCATCGCATATCAAACTCATGATCGGATCATATTTCTGTTTCCTAACGATCAGGTATTTAAAAAGACAGCAGTGTAGTAAACGGGAAGCCACTGGGTATGCCGGAGAAGCGAAGTGTGATCATTAAAAAAGGGGAGATTGGAAATAACTTAGCGCAGAAGCATTTTGAATTGTTAGAGGGGTTAGGGAGGGCCGAGGCAGTGAGACGGAGAAAAATGGAATTGCAGTCACCCGGACCGGGTAAAGATCGGAGCGTGAGCCCGGAGTTTGGCGGCAGAAAGTGAAACGCGAGGGCAGCTTTTCCTGACGTTGAACAGACGAAAGCGACAGTGGGTGGAGGAGGCGAGGGAAGAGTCAAAGGCGTCACAGAGGGTGAGGACAGAGGAGGCAGGAGAGAGCAGGGAAGGAGATGGTGGGGACGGGAGGAGGAGAGGCCGGTGGGAAAACGATTGATGTTTTGAATGGATTGAGAGTGAAGCGGCGTCCAGGATTGGATGGCAGCCAGGCAAGAGGTCGGAGATACGAGAGGAAAGGTCAGTGATAAAAGAGGGAAAGGAGACTACTCTTTGGTTCTATTGGGTAAAGTCAAGTAGGTGAAAATAAAATAAAAATTAACAAAAAATCACGACGTTTCGGCCACAACACAAGCGGCCTTAATCAGGTGAAGGGACGAGACTGTCTGGAGGACAGCGCTGGAGTGGAAGAAGCCACGCGCAGATCACGACCTTTAAGCTGTGTGAGAAGAAAAACACCAAGCGCCTTGACAAAGGAATTAGCATATAATTTAGCATTGAAATGGCTCATTGAAATAGCTAAGTTAAAGTATACACATCCGCAGAGGTACCCCTTGACAAAGGAATTAGCATAGAATTTAGCATTGAAATAGCTGAGTGATTAGCTTGTAACTGGTCACAGAAATAGCTATGTTAAAGTTAGAGCATATACATTCACCGAGGCACCTAGTACTCAAACAGGAGAATTTAGCGAAACACAACCACGCTCAGACAGCGGACCTTTAAACTGTGTGCGAGCAAACAAGGTGTTCTGACAAATAAATTAGCATAAAAATTAGAATTTGATTGGCGGATTTTCGGAAAGAGGTGGTGTACGTGCCGGTGGACTTGCCATTTGGCACGGGGGGGAAGGGGGGGAGTTTACCTATTGATGGTTTGAAAAGGGAATTTATAAGAGCTGCGAAAGTTTGGGGTACCACTATTTGAAAAAAATACTGTACCATTGAAATTAGTTTAATGTTTAGTTCGATTTAGAACAGGGGTCGGGAACCTTTTTGACTAAGAGAGCCATGAAAGCAAAAAATTTGGAAATTTATTTCAGTGAGAGCCATATAATATATTTTAAAAGTGAATTCAACTAAATGTCAGTATAATAAGCCTCTGAATTTATTCTTTTAAATAATGTTGTTATAACACTCACCATTAATGCGACTTCTGGTGCTGCATGGATTTGCTGATGTCTTTGTAGTCGGGTTGGTACTTGGTGAGGTTAAGCTTCATGCAAGCGTTGAGGCTTTCATCCGTTAAACGTGATCGTAGGTTGGACTTGATGTTTTTAATATGTGAGAATGACTGCTCACATGCATACGTAGATCCAAACATGGTCAATACAGCAATACTCACACGCTGCAGTGTGTGGTATGTGACAGGAAGCGCGTTCCAAGTTTTGAGAATCAGCTGGTCTTCGGGTTGGAGTTTTTTCATTTCTGTCCACATGTGCTTGCTCGCAAACTCCGCTTTCTGTCGTGTGATTCTTTCCAAATCTTCATTCAGTGACTTGAACTTATTCACCCACATGTCTGAGGCCTTCAGGTCAGCCACTTCTGCTTCAAAATCTCTGACGGAGACACCAGGGATGTAATTCAGGTCGGCTGTGTTCAGTGAACACTCGTTTGGATGGGTGATGAACTTAAAAAGACGAGTGTGCTCACGAAATTCTCCAAAGCGTGCTTTGAAGGACTGTAGGAGACTGGATGTGCAGCCAGCTAGCTGGTGGAGATCAAGGTTTTGAATGGGCTCACTTGCTGTGCATGCATCTTTAAATTGGCTCAGTTTTTCAAAATGTAGTAAACGACCTGTTTCAAGATCCGTGATGAAAAGCTCCAGCTTGTTTTCAAAAGCAAATACAGCTTGTTGAAGGGATAACACTGTATTTCCAATGCCTTGCATTTTCACGTTGAGCTGGTTCAGATGTTCAGTCAGATCTACGAGATAGTAAAACTTGAGGAGCCACTCGGTGTCGGCTAGCTCAGGATGCCCGACGCCTTTCATTTCAAGGAAAGTCCGGATTTCGTTCAGGCAAGCCGCAAAACGGCTAAGCACCTTCCCTCTTGACAACCAACGCACATTGCTGTGCAAAAGCAGACCAGGATAGTTATTTACAACTTCATCCAGCAGTGTTTTAAACTGGCGATCATTTAAGGCTCGGGCAACAATAAAGTTGATCACACGAATGACCAGCGACATCACTTCGCCAAACTGCCTGTCACACATCTGAGCACAAAGTGCCTCCTGGTGTATAATGCAATGGAAACTTAGGATGGGTCTATTTTCATGTTCACGGAGAAGCGCCACAAATCCTTTGTTTTTCCCCACCATACACGGAGCACCATCAGTACACACTGAGAGAAGTTTATCCATAGGTAGACTTTTTTCTTGAGCAAACTCCATGAAAGACTTGAATAAATCCTCACCTCTTGTGGACCCTTTTAATGGCAGAACAGCAAGACTTTCTTCGCGCAGTGTGTCACCAACAGCATATCTTGCAATCACGCTGAACTGCGACAAATGGCTCACGTCTGTTGACTCATCCAAAGCCAGAGAAAAGAACGGCGCTGCATTTATGTCCTTCACTTGCGTTTCCTCCACTTTGTTTGCCATCACGATGGTACGATCATGAACAGTTCTTGCCGACAGAGGCATGTCTTGTATCCGTTTGATTATCTTGTCTTTGTTCGGAAGATCATCAAAAAGTTCATTGGCTACATCCAGCATGAACGTTTTAGCATACTCGCCATCTGTGAATGGTTTTCCGTTCCTCACTATTGCTAAAGAACCAGCAAAGCTAGCCGAATTATAGTCACCTTGCCGGGTCCATACGCGGAGTTGCTGCTGGCTAGCTTGCACTCTGCTCAGAAGCTCTTGGCACGCTTTCTTTCTGCTGTCTCCCGCAGGGTATTTTGATGCAAAGGTAGCGTGGCGCGTGTCGAAGTGCCGCTTTACATTCGACCGTTTCAACGATGTAATTTTGTCATTGCAAATTAGACACACCGCAGAACCCGCTCTCTCCACAAAGGCGAATTCTTCGGTCCATTCGTCCTGAAATGTACGATACTCGTCGTCTTTTTTTCTTTTCGCCATCTTCTTCGTCGAAGGGTTAGCTTTGAGCTAATGACCGAGCAGACGCAGTCTCAGACTGATTCAAAAGGGGGCGTTTACCTGTTTTACCCAGCAACGGCAAACGTAGGCCAGTATCATCCAATTAAAATAATGGACAATTGCTCCTGCAGCCCTGAACAGGACATGCGCAGTGAAAAATCGATGGATGGATTAAAACAAGTGAGAATATTTTGTTTTATCTGCGAGCCATATGCAATCATCAAAAGAGCCACATCTGGCTCGCGAGCCATAGGTTCCCGACCCCTGATTTAGAACATCTTTCCAATGGTCGCTTAATTTGAAACCATCCTCTCGGTTGAAATTGTGTCTGTGTTTGTAGATCTGAATTGCTTCATGAACAAATCTCTGATAAAAGCCCGTGGGTTTGCAATGAACCTTGGTATCGGAGAAAATTATATCGTGATCCCCCACAGCGTTGTAACAGTGATCAGCCACGGCAGAAGAATTCGTTTTGCCGTGGCTGATCACTGTTACAACGCTGTGGGGGATCACGATATAATTTTCTCCGATACCAAGGTTCTTTGCAAACCCACGGGCTTTTATCAGAGATTTGTTCATGAAGCAATTCAGATCTACAAACACAGACACAATTTCAACCGAGAGGATGGTTTCAAATTAAGCAACCATTGGAAAGATGTTCTAAATCGAACTAAACATTAAACTAATTTCAATGGTACAGTATATTTTTCAAGTAGTGGTACCCCAAACTTTCGCAGCTCTTATAAATTCCCTTTTCACACCATCAATAGGTAAACTCCCCCTCCCCCCCTTCCCCCACCCCCGCGCCAAAAGGTCGTGATCTGAGCGTGGCTTCTTCCACTCCAGCGCTGTCCTCCAGACAGTCTCGTCCCTTCACCTGATGAAGGCTGCTTGTGTTGTGGCCGAAACGTCATGATTTTTTGTTAATTTTTTTATTTTATTTTCACCTAAGTGACTTTGCCCAATAGAACCAAAGAGTATGGATCCTAGCAGTCACGAAAGCTTTAAATCTAGAAGGGAAAGGAGAAGATGATTTGGGTGTCATCAGCAAATAATTTTGGCGAGGAAAGCAAAAAGAGGAGTTAATAGATTCAAGGGGAATAGTAAGGGGCCCTGAACCGACCTCTGCGAAACACCGACAGTGAGAGGGAGGGGATGCGGAGTGGTTGGAGGAGATCGAGGATGCGCGAGAAGGTGAGACTTGAGCCAAGATGGGGGGGGGGGGGGGGGGGGGGGTGTACCAGGGATGCCGAGGTCAGAGGAATAAAAATAATTATAACAATTCTTACGCAACATCTTTTATCCAGCGAAGGATACATTTATCCTTCCCGGGGAAGACAACTGCAGTCCCAGGGATAAAAAAAAACGAGAGCCAAGGATATCTTCCACCCCCAGATCGCTTAGCACCCTGCGTACCGGCCATCGCGGCCCAAAGCACTGCGAAGCCACGACCATCAAATCAGCGAGGTGGGGGGGGGGGAATGGGGGAGAAAACACGGCAGCGGCAGACAACTCACCGGGGTCGCTCGCTTGCCAACGTCGAACAAACGTCGAAACCAACATCGTTGATGCCAAGCGCCGCGATTTAACAAAAAAAGCACGTGCTTCAGCCTTTTCTGGATGCGGCAGCCAGGTACGTCAACAACTTTTATGTCGGCAGGAAAAAAAAAAAATCCTCGATTATAATTTATATTTTTTTGCTTGTCGCGCCAGTCACTTAACAACGTCGGCTCGATCCCTTTGACAAACGTCGACTCTTTGCTGACGCCGGGCCACCGCTGGCTATTTATTCGGTCGCTCGTGGACGAACGGCGCGCGCCCGGCACCGCTAGAGCATGCGCCCCCTCTCGGCCGCGCCCAGCTCGGAAGAGAGCCTCCACTCGGGCGACGCGGGGCTGGCGCAGGCCGGGGCGGACCCCTCCGCCGCCCCCTCCGCTCCGCCGCCCGGCCCGGCAGTCGCTGCGTCCAGGCCGTCGGCGACCGCGTCGAGGCGCGCACGCAGGCCCTCGCGGACGCCGCGCAGGAGGTCCCGGGCCTCGTGCACCAGGCGGGCCGCGTCGGCCGGCTGGCCCTGGCTGCAGTCGTAGAGCGCGCCCTTGAGCAGCACGTCCTGCTGGCTCGCGAAGCGCTGCAGATCGCGGGCCGCACGCCGCAGCTCGTCGCGAGCGTTGGGCTGTGGGGGACCGCGCGAAACGGTCAGCCGAGGGTTACGACGCGGCTCCCCTTCCCTTCTGTCAAATTCAAAGCCGATGCCTGACCTGGTATGGTCCCCCCGTGCAATATTCCGACACTTGCAACATTACCGCTTTCTCCTGTACTCTCGATTTCTAATCACTTCATCGTTGTACTTTATTAAATGTATGGCACTGTTGGTCACTCCGGCAAACGACATGCGCCCTGCTCTCTGGAGTTCTTACCGGGTTAAAAACAAAAAAAACCTTGAAACCGAGTTCTGACTCGGCCGCGAACCAAACCCCGCGAGGCACGCGACGGCGGTTCCGTCCCTCCGCGACGTACCGCGTGCTGAGCGGCGCCGGGCGGGCGGGCGCGAGCCTCCGCCGGCGCGGACCCTCGCGCCACGGGCCACACCTCCTGCGTGTGCCGCGCCAGCACGCGCAGGGCCTCCGCGGCGCGCAGCCCGCCGGGGCCGGCCCTGCCGCGAGCGTCCGCTTCCTCGCGAGCGTTGACCCCGCCGCTCCCGCCGCCACCGCCGCCGCCGCCGATCCCCCCGAGGTCGTCGTCGTCGTCGTCGCCGCCGTCGTCGTCCGCCGGCTCCGGGCCGTCGTAGGCGTCGTGCAGGTCGCGGCGCGGCTGCGGGTCGAAGGCGCGGCGGCGCGACGGGGCGTCGGCGGCCGGGCCGCACGAGCGGCCGTCCCACGAGCGCGGAGGAGAGCGGCACGGCGCCGGGAGGTGCTGCCGCAGGTCGAGGCACACGGGCTGCGGAGAAGGCGCAGCGCGACGAGAGCGACGACCGTCAATTCGTCACCTTCGCATCGTCCACGTGGCGTTCGACCGCCGCTAAGGGGTCCGAGCGCAAACCCCTATCCTCAACTACGTGTAATGTTTGAAAAAGTCTGTGGTTTTACGCCATTTAATTTATTTGCGGTTTGCCGGATATACTTCCCAAATGTTGCGGCTAGGACAGGTCCGAAGGACATTGGGCCGCACAGCCTCGGCGGCCACTTCAACTCAACCTCGACTCCGATCGGTACGGACGGGGGGCGGCGGGCGGCAGCGCGCAGGGGGCGGTGGGCGACGTACGGAGGCGGAACGGGGCCCATCCCACATGGCGGCGGGCGACGAGGAGGCGGCTGTGCGGTTTCCTCCCGACGAGGTGGAGAGCGTGGACGAGGTGAGCATGTCGGCCAGCGTGGAGCGTGCCGTCACCAGCGGCAAGGGGTTGCTCTCATAGGTCCCGAACTCTGCAGCAGCAGCGGCGGCAGCGGCAGCCAGAGCAGCCACGGCGGCGGGCAGGAGGAGGAGAGGGACCATTAACAGCGATCGATGGCTGTGACGCAACGTCCGTCCATTTACACTGAGCCTGGATACAATCGCTTCTCAAGAGAAACTACGGAGCGATGCTGCATTGTCCGTGTCGAGTTTGTGCCTCCGGCATCCCGGTGTCTCCAGCCTCTCACTGGCTCACGATATTCACATTTCCAGTCAATCCCAAAGTATCTGCATTTCAAATTTCCATTGATTCGCAGGTCTGCATTTATCCAAATAAAACCAAACACGATAAACATCGCTTTGTCAATACAGTGCTGTGGTGAATGGTTCTCCATGCCCTATCAATCAAGGGGGCTGTTTGACCATACTTCACCAAGCTGGTCAGTAGAAGACTGGTGAAAAGGAAAGCCGAGACTTGTTCAGATATCGATTGTGAATGATCTCAGCCATGGCTGGGAATTGAACTCAGGTCGCCAGATTTACAGCGCAGTGCGTTAACCACTGCCACACCACTCCATCTTGTGAAACTAATCAAAGTCCTGATGTGGCTAACATAAGATTAAACTAAAATTTACCAAAACCCATCACAGGTTAATCCATACACGAGTATGGATGACATCAAATCATGCGTACACTTGGTAGTCGCGCCATTCTTATGGCCCGACGACTATCACAAAGGCACAAACTTTCACATACACAGGCCATAAGTTCATCTTTCATGTGGCCAAAAACAAACTATGAGAGATTCAGGTATAAGCAATTCGGCCATCAAATCGCTTTGTCCGAGAGCTGGTAAGTTGCAGATATACTCACACCAACAAAGACCCCCCCCCACCGTATATCCTTAATAGACTGTAGGGGCAAGTGGTGTTTGCCAGAAGCACCAATAAAGGCTGGAACGGCACACAAGGGGGTGTAAGGGTGGCCAGCACCACGCCCGGCCTCCTTTGTCTCCCCAGTTGCAATGTTTACACACTCCACCAGGTACTCATTTTGGGCTGAGTCGACCTTGAGGAGGGCTGAGAACCAATTCAGATAATCGTCACTGTTGTCGACCATGAGTGGGAATCGAACTCGGGTCATAGTCGGGTTCTTAGCACAGCGGGCTAACCACGACACAACCGCTCCCCACTCACTCACCCACACACTCATTCGCTCACCAACCACCTTCATGTGCTCTATGGTTTCATGTTTGTAATTAAGTCTCACACAAGAATGATTGAGTTTTCCACCGATGCATCATGTATGTATGTAGAACTTCTTTCGCACCGTACGTAGCCAACCGTGCTCATCGGAGTCGGGTCGCAGGGAGGGGGCGATGTAGCCACGTGATGTCACTCAATTACGGAATCCGCGAGAAATAAAAAAAATTGGCAAATTTGCACCGTGACGCCGACACACGAGGTCCACCGCCACACCACCCACCCCCCTTCGAACCGAAGTCACGGGACCTGCAGCAGCACGGGCCCCGAGCGGGCAGAGCTGAAATCCGAGTGCCAGCGGTGGAGGATGCCGCACGGGGGGTGAGGGTGCGGTACCTGTGATCTCCTCTCCCAGGGCCTGTCCAGCGAGGGGCCGGTGGGGGCTCCTGCTCGAAGGCCGTGTTAGCGGACGGACCTTGGCCGCTTGGGGGGTCCGACCCCGGCGAGAAGCTGCGGGGGGGGGGGGGGGGGCGGGAAATGAGGTGTAAGGGGGGGCCCCAAGTACGAATGCATTAAAGACCAAGAGCGGTTGCTTTGCGAAGCCGGGACTTTGCCACGCGCCACTGTGCAGGAGACTCGTTAAGGACGCTGCTGGGCAGGTGCGAGCTGCTGCCCTCAAACAATGTAGGGCGGCGGAGCGATGCGAGCAGAGCGCCGGGCGGCTAAAACACACCAAGGCGGCACAGTGAGGGTGCGCAGGTGGCGCGTCTGCCAGTCGTTTCACAGCACCTGGGTCTGTCCCGTGACCCTCTGCCAGCGAGCCATCAATGCCACTTCACGTAAGAGGCTGAAAGTGGACCTAGCCTGTACATGAAGCAGTTCCCCCCTCCTTAACCTCCTTCCTCTCTTAAAGACCCACCTCTTCTCTATCGCCATTCCCTTCCTCTTCCCGTCCCTCCCCGACCCTTTTGAGACCCTTATGCACCCTCTCTCGGTGTCACCCATTCCTAAGCCCTTGCACGCCCCTGCCATCGATCTCATTCTATTTGGTTACCTGAGTATTGAACTATGTGAAGCGCCTTGAGCAAAGGCGCTCTACAAATATAAAATGAGATAAGACAAGCACCGTGGTGACGTCACCGTTGCTTAGTGGCGAATGGGGGCTTGGTGCTGCGCGAGTGTGGAGCAGTGGCACAATGGTTCGTGCGAACCCGAGTTCGATTCCCGCTCACGACTAATAACAGTGACGATTATCTGAACCGGTCCTGGGCCTCCCCTAGGTCGACTCGGCCTCAAATGAATACCTGGTGCAGTGTGTAAAAACATCGTCACTGGTGAGACAGCCCTTGCCTCAACATTCTGTTAAGGCTACACGGGGGAACCTTTGTGGTGTGCGTGCGGCACTCACAGTCGCGGGACATGCCGACGGAGAGGCACTTCTGGAAGCGGCAGAACTGGCAGCGGTTGCGGTTGCTCTTCTGGATGACGCAGTTCATCTGACACGTCTCGTACTGCACCTGCGTGCTCACCGTGCGCCGGAAAAACCCCTGCCGGGCGGAGAGAGGGAGTGCGGGGGGCACAAGGGGATTGGGGCAACGTGACATTTTCACCCACGCTGGGATGGCGACTGCGTGTTCAGGTCCGTGCCTGTGTCAAAGCACCCGCCTCATCCACAAGGCGGCAATAAGTTATCCGAGTGCGGAGGTTTAAATGGACATCCCACGTATACTATTAGAACGATTATTTAAACGACGACTTTGATTGTGAGGTCGCCTATTTTAGGGAACGGCGCCAGTGCAAATTAAAACAACGATTAATCTTTCACCAATGGCAGACCGGGCGGCAGAGGCACGGTGAGAACCTGGAATGAGATCCCCTTAAAATAACGTGCACGTGTTAGCCAGAACCCGTCATAGACATTGCCTCCCTGCATCCATCCCTCCCTGCATCCCTCCCTCCCTTCATCCCTCCCTCCCTGCATCCCTCCCTGCATCCCTCCCTCCCTCCCTGCATCCCTCCCTCCCTGCATCCCTCCCTCCCTCCGTGCATCCCTCCCTCCCTCCCTGCATCCCTCCCTCCCTGCATCCCTCCCTCCCTCCCTGCATCCCTCCCTCCCTGCATCCCTCCCTCCCTCCCTGCATCCCTCCCTCCCTAGCATACCTTGCATCCCTCGCAGGCATACACTCCGTAGTGGATGCCCGACGCCAGGTCTCCGCACACCTCACACAGCAGCAGCGAGCCGGCACCCGCGCCGCGGTGCCCACCACCACCGCCGCCGCCGCCACCGCCGCCGCCGCCTCCGCCGCCTCCGCCGCCCAGCGAGGGGGAGAAGTGACGGGAAGACTGACTCGGGCCGGAGGGCATGCACAGCCCCGGCGAGCTCGACGGCGATCCATGCCACTTCTGCAGCTCTGCACGGGCGGAGCAACGACAACTCATGTCATCCCACAACTAAATCCATCGGTGGACCGTATTATCCTACAAAAGCCCACACCTCCCGCATTCACGTAAACCCACACTGCCCGGTGCGGGGAAGTATGGTGAAATAACCCTGACGACCCGGATGGGAGACCCTCATCCAGCAGTGGATTGACGAAACGTCTGTAGGTGTACAGTTATTCACAGCGCTTCGTCGCACCACTGCTGAATTAGGGCCGCCCCCCACGCTGATCATACTTCACCACACCGGCCAATGAGTTGAAGTCGGGGGGGAGGGGGGGCGTGGGTCAGGACCGCCCGAGAAATAACTCGCCACGGACGCGAGCCGTTTCCCGGTAAATTACGCGCAGTGCGCTTGGAGCGGTATTCCCTTCCAACGCGAGTGTTTTTGACTCTCGTGCCAAAAATCTCATCAATAATTAAATGGCCAAGCACGGCCAAGCAGGGCCCTCTTCGACCCAAGAGTGCCACGCACATGCACAGACACTCTTGGGTCTTCCCATTTTCGACCCCCCCACCACCGCCCTCTTCCCCCCCCCACACCCGGCAAACTCACTCAAACCCCCCCCACCCCCACAATATCGACACGGGACTCCGCGATGTTTTGATTGCATTCATTTAGCTCCACTGGTCATGTCCGAATTCCACGGCGTCCATCTCACCTGGATGATGGTAACTGGTTGTGTTGAAGGTACAGTGAGGGAAAAAAGTATTTGATCCCCTGCTGATTTTGTACGTTTGCCCACTGCCAAAGAAATAATCAGTCTATAATTTTAATGGTAGGTTTATTTTAACAGTGAGAGAAAGAATAACAAGAAAATCCAGAAAAACGCATGTCAAAAATGTTATAAATTGATTTGCATTTTAATGAGGGAAATAAGCATTTGACCCCCTCTCAATCAGAAAGATTTCTGGCTCCCAGGTGTCTTTTATACAGGTAATGAGCTGAGATTAGGAGCACACTCTTAAAGGGAGTGCTCCTAATCTCAGCTTGTTACCTGTATAAAAGACACCTGTTCACAGAAGCAATCAATCAGATTCCAAACTCTCCACCATGGCCAAGACCAAAGAGCTCTCCAAGGATGTCAGGGACAAGATTGTAGACCTACACAAGGCTGGAATGGGCTACAAGACCATTGCCAAGCAGCTTGGTGAGAAGGTGACAACAGTTGGTGCGATTATTTGCAAATGGAAGAAACACAAAAGATCTGTCAATCTCCCTCGGCCTGGGGCTCCATGCAAGATCTCACCTTGTGGAGTTGCAATGATCATGAGAACGGTGAGGAATCAGCCCAGAACTACACGGGAGGATCTTGTCAATGATCTCAAGGCAGCTGGGACCATAGTCACCAAGAAAACAATTGGTAACACACTACGCCGTGAAGGACTGAAATCCTGCAGCGCCCGCAAGGTCTTCCTGCTCAAGAAAGCACATTTACATGCCCGTCTGAAGTTTGAAAATGGGTCACGGATGAGTATTCCAGGATGACAATGACCCAAAACACACGGCCAAGGCAACAAAGGAGTGGCTCAAGAAGAAGCACATTAAGGTCCTGGAGTGGCCTAGCCAGTCTCCAGACCTTAATCCCATAGAAAATTTGTGGAGGGAGCTGAAGGTTCGAGTTGCCAAACGTCAGCCTCAAAACCTTAATGACTTGGAGAAGATCTGCAAAGAGGAGTGAGACAAAATCCCCCCTGAGATGTGTGCAAACCTGGTGGCCAACTACAAGAAACGTCTGACCTCTGTGATTGCCAACAAGGGTTTTGCCACCAAGTACTAAGTCATGTTTTGCAGAGGGGCCAAATACTTATTTCCCTCATTAAAATCCAAATCAATTTATAACATTTTTGACATGCGTTTTTCTGGATTTTTTTGTTGTTATTCTGTCTCTCACTGTTCAAATAAACCTACCATTAAAATTATAGACTGATCATTTCTTTGTCAGTGGGCAAGCGTACAAAATCAGCAGGGGATCAAATACTTTTTTCTCTCACTGTAGCGCTAAGACGCGTAACAGGTGGGAACGCCGTGGGAAGGCTACCTACCATCTCCCACCAAAAATATAACTACTGTAGGGATCGTATAAGTAAAGCGCTGTAGTCTGTGCTCCTTCAATGGAGGAGGAACCAAAAAACACGACGCAAAACCAGAAAAATAAGAATAGATTTTAAAACCTATTCTTCATTTTCATACTGGCAATCAAAAGTTCCCATGATATGCTAAATCTCTCTCCCGAAGACCTCTCGTCATAGCTAGCGGACCCCGACATTGGCATTCAACCCATGGACATATTTCCACACGCAAGAAGATAGAGATACATAGAGACACATTAAAAACAAGCCACAATGTGATTGCGGACAATAAATCCAAACTATGGCCCGCGTAAGTAAAAACCACTATGGTCTGCGCTCCTCCCACGCAGGAGGAACAGCAAAACGACACGAACTCTCTCTCCCGAAGCCCTCTCGTCGTGCCCGGCAGCAGACCTCGCCAATGGCCCAACACCGAGCTCCTAGGCGTACAGCTGCCATCGTGCGCGAGAATCGAACTGCATTTAGTTGTGTTGTTGCAAAGGTTTCAAAACACATTATTTAAGCGTTCCGAACTCAAACGTGTGCCATGAAGAAGGACCGTTGCCCGAAACATTGCCTCAGCTTTTCTTTTTGTTGTTTTACGGCCACACAGGATTGTCGACGAACATGTCGGGTTCTCTGCCCAGAGTCTCGGCGAGGCCTTCTCCGGGGGATAAAATGGCGACAAGTTTTCGCCAATAATTTTTCCCCATTCGGCAAATCGCGCGAGAGAGAGGCACAGCGGCGGCGGCGGCGGCCATCATCGCCGGACGGCGGTGCCAGGGGCACAGCGGTGGCGCCGACAGCAATGACACTGCACTTTTAATCGGAAGCAACCTTCACTGGAGGCTGCACCCTTCACACTCAAGGACTCGCGAACACAAGGACGGATACCTTCCCGAGGGCATGCCGACATATTAGCCGTCGCAGAACTATCCACGGCTGCCTGCACTCGATAGTGAACGTGCAGGATCTGCAGTGGTATTTAATCGAAGAGTAATAACTCTGCAGAGTACATAACGGTGTGAATTGCACTGCTAAAATATCTAAATCCGCTCAAGCTTCCCGCGTGGCTTCGCGTGGCTTCTGTGTGGCCACCCCCACTCTTATATCCTCTCCCCCCGTCCACGCCGCCCGCTGTAAAAACCGACGCCGCTCCTCCGTGCAGCAGCAGCAGCAGCGTCGAGGTCCTCACGCAGCCTCCTCCTCCCTCTCCTCATCTCTCCTGGCCCCCGTGCTCTCGTTTCTCCGCTCCTTTTCCATCCCTTGTCCTCCGTTTCCATATTCTTTCTCTCGTCCCTCTCCCGCTCCTTTCTCTTTCTTCACACACTGTATCATTGACTCTACGCCCCTTCTTTGTGTTTGTGCCAGGGCTAAAACCTTCCTAATAATTGATAGCATCTGAAGATTTTGAGAGTTAAGGACTCTGCGTGATCTATCATGGTTTGAACGTATATAAGCTACAGTGGCATGAACAGGGGCAATTTACAAGGGACTGAAAATGTCGAGAGAGTGTCCATGTGTTTTAGGTCGCTCAGCGGTAGAGCGAGCGGCTTGCAATTGTAAGTTTGCGAGTTCAAATCGTGGCCAGGGGATGACTTGGCCCATCATCCCTCCGGCGGTCAATAAAATGGATACCACCACCATGTGGGGGAAGTCAACAATGGTTGCCCTGTGAAGTTACCCCACCCCCACCATAGGAATGTGGAATTCCCACCACTGGTTCAGTGCTGTAAACAGGCGATGAGCACCAATGCGCCAATGCTAGTGCGAGCACAGGGATTCACTTTTGACTACAGAGGTTATGCATCTGCACAATTAAAAATTGTACACCTCCGAGGTATGTAATACTGTGTAAAAATTACAAACACACCTGTCGCCTCTCGCTGCCCTCCCACTCGGCAGGAGGCAAGTTACTCGGTGCGCTAATGACACGGATCACAATTTTAAGAGTTCAGCACGAGACTTAAGCAACGGAACCGGAAGAGGACTCTGCCCTACGGGGGAAACCAACGGAGGTCGTAATTTTTAGAGTCATAAAAGCAAAAAGAAATGTTTTCTTGGATATGTAGACTCCACCGTGCGCGTACGATATTGAAGATATCATTCGGAATAGTAGATTCTTGCATGCATGATTTGATGGACGCGTGGTGAGCGGAAAGTATTTATATCAATCAATTAATCACTGCACGTTGCAGAGGTGACTGGTTTCACTCCAGCAGGCCGCGCTGGTTAGTCCTGCGGGTTTATTCACCACACTATACTCCTTCACTCTCGCCGCGGACGTTTGAGATCCCGTTCCCTCGTCCAGAGAAGGGGGCCGTCGTGTGCCGGCACGGTGGACCACATTTTTCCAATTAAAAAAAAAAAAAAATTCTCGCAACGACTTGATTGGGAAATGCCTAAGCAATCGATAGCACGCGACTGCGAACACTTATCAGGACTCTCCTGAAAAAGACTCTTTCCTGGGTAAACACAAGCTCACACAACAACAACACACGTGCGCACGCACGCACCTGACTTGATGAGGTAGTCGACGAGGCCGGACCAGCTGGTGCTGGCCTGCGCCTGTGAAGCAGCGGCACCGGCCCCATCACCGGGACCCGGCGTGCCGCGGCCGCCGTCTCCGGCGGGGCCCTCGCCAGTCCCAGGCGACGTCGACGCTCTGTCGAGCGCGGCCAAGCTATCGTCGTCGCCGCCGCGAGACTCCTCGATCAGCGGCGCCTCCGTCCATTCATCCTCGGGCTCTGGATGTGGAGGTGGGGGGGGGGGGGGGTAATGGTTAGCGCGCTGCGCCACGAAAGCCCGGGATCAGAGATCGATTCCTGCTCAGGACCACCAACACCCAGTAATGATTATCAACCGGATCCTGGGCTTCCCCCTAGGTCGACTCAGCTTCAAATGAGTGCCCGGTGCGGTGTGCAAACATTGCCAATGGGGAGACAAATGCGACCGGGCGTCGTGCTGGCCACCCAATCCCTCGTGTGCCGTGCCGGCCTTCAAAGGTGCTCGCTTACAGAAATTGCCCCAACAGTCTGTTAAGACTACACGGGGGATCTTTGTCTCTGGGGGAGTGGAAGATTGGCATTGTTATGAAAGAGTTTAATCTTTTTCCACAATTTTATCCTCGACTGTGCTTTCGGCGTCATTTCACGAGACAAAGTATCAATTCAGAACTTCTGAAGAGGAGTGTGGCCACTGTTCTTATAAGAGAACGGCCAGAGGAAGCAGATATCACAGAGCTACCTCCGAGATCTCTTCAGGTCACCTCTGGCTCACACTGCAGGCACGTGAGCAATCGAGAGAGTTTTCAGAAGGTTTTTATTAATTATTTCGTAGGGTTTTCTCTCAAGTTGGAAGCAAATGTTCCAACGAGGATTTGGGTGGTCTCATCAAAAGAGATCCATTGTATGTTTGTTTTGATCCCTTTAGACAAAATTTTAGATCCCGATCACATGTGCTTTTGAGTATACAGATTAAAAAAAATAGAAAAGCCTCACACTTTGCTCTTCCCGGCTGGTTCCGGTCACAATGCAACGCTGCCCTTCCTCACAACGAGGCTGAGACGACGCCCTCCTTCCCCCCTCTGGCACGGTGGCCAAAACGTCGCGGGCCCAGAGAGCACGGCTTGACGGGTTAAAAGGCATCGCAGAAAACACAGAAATGTATTTCGCCTGAGGTTGGCATCGTTCAGCTGGCGGCTACAATTCTCCACAATTGTCAATGGTGGCGCAGACCCGGGCAATGTTAAAGCTATTTTTAAAAACTACTATTTTTATTTTACCAAGTAAAGGCCCACTGAGCTACGCAGTTCTTTTTCAGAATCGACCTGGCCACAAACGACAGCTCAATGCAGTGGCTTATCATCATGTGGAAGTTTAAAGCAGCCAAAAACTCTAAATTCATATTTCTAAATGTGGAGTAAAAAAACGGAGGACACGGAGAAAAATCCACGCGATCACGGGGAAGATAAGAGACACGCAAACTCCAAATATACAGCAGGCGTCAGGGTTGGGATCGATTCCACGACCTCCTGCACACCAGGTGAGGGAGTTAACATCTCGCCATTGTGGCACCCAATACACTTGCAAACAGCAGCCCACCAAGACAGGAATAAGCCTCGCTTAGCGCCGAGACTAGCAGACTGCAGTGAAACGTTTTATCAATTCCCGATCGATAATTTCTGTGGTTGTAACGAGTGGAAAACCACGAGGTGCCTTAAGGAGGTAGTGCAGCAAGTGGAAAAGCCGTGGCATTCGTTGCAGTGTTATACATGGTAACCTCTCATGACAGTGGGTTTACTAGAGGCTCTTCGGGTTGTATTTCAGGACGTGTTCAAACAAAGAGATTGGCCAAGCATCTCAAAGTAGGGCCCCTCCTACAAATAAAAGGCTTGATAACGGCTGATCAATAATAAATCATAATAATATTATGCGACCGCTGTAATTTAATGCCGCAATATCGTGCAAGGTGGCAACAGTGGCGGCTTGGCGAAGCCTTATCATTGTAAGCAGCAGTAGCAGCAGCTGCAGCAGCCATAATTATGGCTACTGCAGCTACTACTTAATATTATCCGGCAGTCTGGTCTGGTCGACAAAGCTGCCAAGCGATGATGAAAAGTGACTCAAGGTCTGGGCCCATTACTTTGGCTGCACAAGTCGTGAAGAAAAGAAAGTCCACTCGCGCCCACACCCACGCGCGCGCAAAGGCACGGCGGCGTAAACCGACGCGGCATTCATCTTCCACGCACGCACGCCAACCCCCAAAACCAAACACAAAGAGCAGAAAAAAACCCCACTCCAATAAAACCACAAAGCAGAGCAAGCTGCACACTAATCCGCCCGTACCGAGCAGCACCAGAGAAGGGGGGGGGAAAAACGCCACTTAAAACAGAAATCAGCGACAGCGGCACAGTAATCCCGCATGGCCCAAGGGCAGCGTGACCTTAACCACTGTCCCGGGTCGCGCAGCCCCAGGAGGTGGCCGGATCAGTCTCGGAAAACATTCCTTCCGTGACCTCCAACTTTTTTTAATTATTTTTTTCACATTTTAAAACGCTGCAGCCGATTTTCTTTCAAAGCCGCTCGCACGGCCTTCCGAAGGCGGGTTTCGATTATTTATTTTTTTGTTCGAAGCCGTGACGCGAGAGGCGAAGGAACGACCACCCCGTTGGGTTGCGCGCAAAACGTCGGATCGTAGCGATTTTTTAGTTCTTGTTTGTAAACGTGGCTTCAAAAATAGACATTCGTGCTTCCCCCATCCTTGCACCGAACACTCGTGGGCACAGATTAGTAAAGCGGTGACTTACGATCGTCTATAATTACTATTTAATCTGGCCTGGAAGCGTTGCGGTTCTACGTGTACAGTTCCTTTTGTCAATCCACTGCTGGATGAGGGGGCCTCCACATGCCGATCAGGTTGTGGTGGTCGTTTCACCGTACGACAACGCACAGGTCAGTGCGGGCTTGGCGAAAGTGGAGAGCATACTTGTTTGAGGACACGATAATGACTTTTGCCGCACTGCTCTATGGGCGACCAACAAGCATACCAGGTGTTATAGGCTGCGGGGGGTGCTTTGGTTATGACCGTAATATGTCACATTTATTCAGGCAAGCCTCAATTATCACGATTATTATGCTTGTTTACCCAGGAAAGCCTCACTCTCAGTCACAGGCCGATGATTCCCACGTAGATTCTGGTTGAGTAATTCGCGGTGCATTTTTAAATTTATTTGGCAAATTTGGACGGACCGCGACTCGGGCATGCGGCGACCTTACTCCCGCGAATTACGTCACGGGTTCTTTACCGGCACACTGTGAATGGGGCTGCGCGTGTGTGTCGTCATCAACACACTCGCAGTGTTTATCATGGATTCGAACCGTGCGCTGGATTCGAACCGTGGTACAGCGGCTGCGCATTCACCGCTTGTTCCAGACATAACAGGACAACGCGTGCGCTACTGCTAGGCCGCATCACCGTCCTCACTGAGGCGCAAGATAATTTTTCAGTACGAGTGCTGCATTGGGATGCTTGGCCAATTACATTTAGTGTTTTGGTTTGGCGTGTGTCACAATCGGAAGGTTGCGAGATAAATTCCTGAGCTGTCACAACTCAGCCAATCATCTCTGCGGAGTCAATTATATGGTTACCACTTTACAGATACCATCAGCAGTTATCTATGGATAGACTGACCCCAGGCATAGGAATGTGGAATTTCTCCTTCTGGCTCAGGACCACCAGGATAGCACTGCCACTTATTCACTTGAAGAGATATTAACCTGATGGTACTATCCCTAGCCAACCAGCCACTCTCAATAGGCCTACCTTGAGCCAAGAAGCCAACCAGCCACTATTATCAGCCCTCTCACCGAACCCAACAAACCAGACCACAGTACGAGCATTACCCCAAACACGAACCAACAACAACCACTTCTACTTGTCCCCTCAATGACCTCAACCAAGCACGAGTAGCAACTCTACCCCTGACCCTAAACCTGCCCCTGGTAAAAGCCCTCCCCCCGCTGACCCGCACCATACCCTTAAGCCCAAACTTTACCCTTTACCCTACTCTACCCACGGGCACACCTCACCAGGGCCCGTGCAGGTTTTGTTCGCCTGTAGCCGCGTGCCACACTGCACGGTGGGCGGGGGGCGGCCCTCTCACCGGTCTTGATCCTCTCGTCGCGGTCCCTGTCAGGGCTCCCCCGCTCGCCGGGGCTGCCTCCCCGATCTTCGGCCGCGCGTTCCCCGTCGCCGTCCATGGCGCCAGGAGGCGTTGAGGGGGAGGGGATCGCTCGCCCGCTGCTGCCGGCGGTGGACGACGCGATGGGAGGTGAGGAGCGGCGTAGGGCGATGTGCTCGCGCGCGTGGAGGAGAGGATCGCGCGACGTTGAGTTTTAGAGACGACTGGGTGGGTGCACGGGGCGTGCAGAGGACTCCCCGGGAGCAAACGGCAATCTACAAAACAACGATAACCTCAATAGCAATGCAGACCTCAAACATCTGTGTGCGCGGCCACCTTTTGTTTGTGTTGGCCCGTTGCTGGAGGAGGAGGACCTCCCCACACCCTCCAGGTCGTGTCGGGGGGGGTGGGGGGGGTTACGTGACCATACTTCACCACGCTGGTTAAGTGCAGGTTTCGCAGACGTGAGCGTTGAATTTAAAGAAGACAAAAAAATTTAAGTCCACCTTTGTATGTTGCTGCACTGCCCACCACTGGTCACAACATAGCCCGGGCAGCCTACAACACTTTTTAAGCACGGACATCCGCCCATCCAAGCACGATTCAAGCTCAACTCTACACCGACTCAAAAATCCGAACTTAATTTCAATGGAGAACTCAACAATGGCAACCTCCACCCCTCACCTCGAATCCAAATCCAAACATTAACTCCGATCCCAAATCCAGTCTTCAAGCACCACCTAAAAACCTTGACTGGAACCACACTTTGCTCCACATAACGGCCCTGAACTCGCCTACAATATACAGTAACCCAGCCTCAATCACAACTCACGGAACCGACGAAGTCACAACCCTAACCCCGACCACAATCCTAGTCCGGATTCCCACCGAAACACAAACGTCGCACCTAAACCCTGACCCTAATCCCGACTAATCCCTAACACAACTCGAACCCAACAATAAACTTCGCTCCCGGCCTCAAACTTTGTCCAAGATCCAAAACGTCACCCGAACCATAACCCGGATCCTTACTAACATCAACCAAACTACTCACCCGAATCTAACCCACACTTACATCAACCCTAACCCAGATCCTTACTAACATCAACCAAACTACTCACCCGAATCTAACCCACACATACATCAACCCTAACCCAGATCCTTACTAACATCAACCAAACTACTCACCCGAATCTAACCCACACTTACATCAACCCTAACCCGGATCCTTACTAACATCAACCAAACTACTCACCCGAATCTAACCCACACTTACATCAACCCTAACCCGGATCCTTACTAACATCAACCAAACTACTCACCCGAATCTAACCCACACTTACATCAACCCTAACCCGGATCCTTACTAACATCAACCAAACTACTCACCCGAATCTAACCCACACTTACATCAACCCTAACCCAGATCCTTACTAACATCAAACCAAACTACTCACCCGAATCTAACCCACACTTACATCAACCCTAATCCAGATCCTTCCTGACATCAACCAAACTACTCACCCGAATCTAACCCTACCGCCCGAACTCTCGACCCCCAAACCATAACGCTTACACGAAGCGCAAGTCAGCACGCCTGGCCTACAGGGGACCCAGAACCACGACACCTGACAACCCCAACCTGGTCCCGACACGACCCTAACCCCAGACCACACCGCTTACACGGGACACGCCATGACCCCCCACAGCGCAGACTCCAATAACCAAAGCCCCCCCCCCCGTCTCGTGTAGCCTGTAACAGACTGTAGGGGCAAGTGCTGATAGCGAGTGGCACCTGTGAAGGCCGCCGGCACTGTGGCACACGAGGGGGTGGGTGGGCAGCACCACGCACGGCCGTCTTTGTCTCCCCCTAGTCGCGATGTTTACTACACACAGCTGCACCAGGTTACTGCTTTGAGGCTGCGTCGACCGAGGGGAGGAGGCCCAGGCACAGATGATCGTCACTGTTCGTAGCGCAGCGCAAACAGCGACACCACCGCTCCCCACTCGCACAAGAGACACAGACAGGCGGCCAAGTCGGCTGCAGTCACCACCACCACTTTACACACAACCCTACACCACCACCACTTTACACACAACCCTACACCGCCACCACCACCACTTCACACACAACCCTACACCGCCACCTACACCACCACACACACAACCCTACACCGCCACCACCACCACCACTTTACACACAACCCTACACCGCTACCTTTACCACCACCACTTTACACACAACCCTACACCACAACCACCTCACACACAACCCTACACCGCCACCACTTCACACACAACCCTACACCACCACCACTTTACACACAACCCTACACCACAACCACCTCACACACAACCCTACACCACCACCACTTCACACACAACCCTACACCACCACCTACACCACCACCACTTCACACACAACCCTACACCGCCACCTACACCACCACCACTTCACACACAACCCTACACCACCACTTCACACACAACCCTACACCGCCACCACCACCACCACGACGACACGTCCGAGTATAACGCGAGCGGCAACGATGGTTGTAGCGACTGTTACCCGGAGGAGTTGGTCGCCTTCGCGAGAGATGGATGAGAGAGGGTGGTGGTTGTTGTTGTGGTTGTTGTTGTGGTGGCTGTTGTGGTTTTGTGGTGGTGGTTGTGGTGTTTGTCGTGGTGGTGTTTGTGGTGTGGTGGTGTTTGTGGTGTGGCCTCGCTTCGCGGGGGAGACGCCGCGGCCCGACAGCCCCGCCACCACCACTCGCCGGGTCCGCGCGGATAGAGACGCGTGCGCCTATTGGTCCAGCGCCACCCTCCCACTCCCCCCCCGCCGCTCTTTCACTGGCCGTCTCGGCCAATAGCAGCGGCGCTTACTGCTGCACACGAGGAGCGCGTGGTGATGGTGGTGGCGGAGGTCGCGGGGGGCACCCCCACCCCTTCCCCCCACCCCTTCCCCCCACCCCTTCCCCCCACCCCTTCCCCCCACCCCTTCCCCCCACCCCTTCCCCCCACCCCCACCACCCTCACCCCCACCACCCTCACCCCCACCACCCTCACCCCCACCACCCTCACCCCCACCACCCTCACCCCTTCCCCCCACCCCTCCTCACCCCCACCACCCTCACCCCTTCCCCCCACCCCTCCTCACCCTCACCCCCACCACCTTCACCCCTTCCCCCCACCCCTCCTCACCCCCACCACCCTCACCCCTTCCCCCCACCCCTCCTCACCCCTTCCCCCCACCCTTCCTCACCCTCACCACCCTCACCCCTTCTCACCCCCACCACCCTCACCCCTTCCCCCCACCCTCACCCCCATCACCCTCACCACCCTCACCCCCACCCCCACCACCCTCACCCCTTCCCCCCACCCCTCCTCACCCCCACCACCCTCACCCCCCTCACCCCCACCCCTCCTCACCCCCACCACCCTCACCCCCACCACCCTCACCCCCACCCCTCCTCACCCCTACCACCCTCACCCCCACCACCCTCACCTCTCACCCCCACCACCCTCACCCCTTCCCCCCACCACCCTCACCCCTTCCGCCCACCCCTCCTCACCCCCACCACCCTCACCCCCCCCCCCACCTCTCACCCCAACCCATTCCCCCCCACCCCTCCCCACCTCTCACCCCCACCACCTCCAGCCCTCACAACAGCCACGTATCGCACTCTGTGACACAATTTTTGATCCTGGGTACTAAGTGTTATTTCGTATTGCTTATGCCTAAAAAGTATAAAGTATATATGGCTATTATTCCCCACAAACTTTGATTTTGTGACCAGGACAGCGATATTTTGAAATTTACATATTTTCAATGAGAAAACGGGCGAATTTGTGTCTTTTCGTTCACATAAAGTAAAAAAAAACTATATATGAATCAAAATGAACATGCATTTATACTAAAGTAATACAAAAATTACTACAAAACATTTAGAAGTGAGTAGTTTTTCGAGATTCACGATGATATTATTAATAAAATTCACGAATCAGCCCCCAAATGTAGTTTCCCATCATGTTCTCGTTCTACTGTCCTTGGTAGCGGCGTTCAAAGTCCAGTCTATCCTGGTGGAAGCGATCGCCTTGCTCCTCCGAGTACGCTCCCATGTTCTCCTTGAATTTATCAAGATGAGCATCAAGGATATGGACTTTGAGGGACATCCTACAGCCCATTGTGCCGTAGTTCTTCACCAGAGTCTCAACCAGCTCCATGTAGTTTTCGACCTTGTGATTGCCCAGGAAGCCACGAACCACTGCGACAAAGCTGTCCCAAGCCGCTTTCTCCTTACTAGTGAGCTTCTTGGGGAATTCATTGCACTCTTCTTTATCTGTAGTCCGACGAAGACACCGGCTTTGACCTTTGCCTCAGACAGCTTAGGGAAGAAGTCTTGAAGGTACTTGAAGGCTGCCGACTCCTTATCTACAGCTCTGACAAATTGTTTCATAGGGCCCAATTTGATGTGCAGTGGTGGCATCAGCACGTTCCCGGGGTCCACCACTTGACGTTGCTCCTCCCCACAGAGAATTCGGTCCGCTGTGGCCAGTCCCTCCTGTGGTAGTGCGCCTTGGTGACTACATGTTTTGTAGTCATTTTGTATTACTTTAGTGTAAAGACATGTTAATTTTGATTCATGTGTTGTTTTATTCTGACTTTATGTGGATGAAAAGACACAAATTCGCCCGTTTTCTCATTGAAAATAAGTAATATTTAAAAATACTTTTTTTTTTAAAAACACGCTTTAATGAAATGTAGCCTACTCGTAATGGCAGAACTCCACGACTCCAGGAAGTGGCCCCGAAGCTTGCCATAAAGTAAGAGGACCGTGGTGATTTACAGCCAACGTCACTTGAGCGTGGACAATTAGACCCAAGCCGAAACATAACATGTAAAAATGAATGTTTAAAAATACTTCTTCTTTATTTTTTTTTATCTAATATAGTATTGTCATCAGTATGACATAAGTATACCAAGTTTGCAGTCGATACCACATTGGGAAGTGGGTTAAAATTGAGTTACAAAATTTGAGGAAACGACAACAACAACAGACAGAGTGAGTTAAATAAAAGCGTGTAATAATAGGCAAGTTTCAAAATATCACTGTCCTGGTCACAAAAGCAAAGTTTGTGGGGCACAATAGCCATTTTCTGTACTTTTGAGGCATAAGCAGTGTCCAAGGCCACTGTGTCCTATGCTGTGCTGCCCAGTTTGGTATTCTAAGTTACGTTTCAATAAACCTTGACATTTTAAAGAATGGAAGGCGGCCGCTCGGTAAACTGCACTATGTAGGCCAGGTTGAATTTTCAAATAACAAAAAAAGCAATTATTATAACCATTGCCTGAAATTTCCAAAATGTGAAGCCCGATTGTGTAACCCAATGGTTCTTAACCTGGGGTGCACGCACCCCATGGCGGTGCGAGATACCCTTTCTGGGGGTGCGTGACATGGCCAGATTTGTTTAAGAAGGTAAATAATCTAAGCACAAATTAAACACGGGGCACGTAAATACAACTACTCTGTTTCATCAAACCCCATGCAGTTATTAACATTAAACATTTTGTTTTACGATTGAGAACCAAAGGGAGTGCAAGGCTGCAGTAAAAGTTAAGAACCCACCGGCTGAACCGATCCCATTGACATTGTCGTACGCACTACGACGTAAAAACATCACCGTACGCTGTGGAAAACTACCAGCGACACCATTCTGGGCAACCGTCATACACGCACCGATCTGCTAGAGGGCAGCTGCTGATGCCATGGGTTCGGCAGCAAGAGTAGCAGTCGAGCGAAACCACTGGCGAAGAGTTTAACTGTGAAACTTGCTCTCTGCTCAAGGACAACGCGCACGGCGTGGGGGAAAGAGGCCCTCGTCCAGCAGTGGATTGACACGGGGGCCGCACGTGCCCAGTTCTCCACGAGAACGCTCTGGGGGTTTCCTTTTCGTACGCACCAAGAAAAAAAACAATCAACAACTCGTGCATGGACGCACGCATGCGCGTTCACAAAACATTCCACGAGTGATTTTATTTAAGAAATTCATACATGTCCGTGTAAGATCATTGTCCAGTTTAAACGTTTACTATTCCAGGTTTTAAAGGCGAGCACAATGACCAGCTGAGGCCCAGGCTGGTGGGAATTTGACCTCCAACACAGCCCCAAAAATTGACCGTTTCGAACCTTTGTACAAAAGCTTGTCTCGGATTTTTTCCCTCTCTCTTTCATATTCACAGAACCAAGGCACTTACGAGTGCTGTGGGCTGGCCCCATAGCTGGCCACAGTGGCCGTAACCAGCTGGAAACTCAAAGTACCGCGTTCGCGAGCGGTCCGTTTCTCGTAACGTAATTCTTTTGTGTCAAAAGAATAGCGGCTCGAGGAGTTTTGTGCTTTTGAGCCGGAACACATCGTATCGAGGTTTAAATAACGAGGTCTGGTCTGGGTGCTAAATATTACATTTCCACTCCCGACCGCTCCGGATTGACGAGGGTGTAAATGTGTCTCGGGTGCCCGGTGATGAGGGTTGCGGTGGTGGCCTATGATGGCAGAGAGAGAGGATATCGAGGAGGGGGGCTGTCGTGGCAGGTGAGTACCGTGCCCAAGCACAACGTCAGATTGCCTCCCTGGCAGCGAGCGGCTCCGCAGGGGAATGCGGCATCGCGCTGCTGAAGTTGGCGTGGCTATCGAGGGTGCAGGCAGTGCAACTGCGCCTGGACACACGGGGCCACCGCAGGGGTCCCAGGCACCGGGCTGCGAACGAAGGGAGAAATTGGACAGGGGGCAGTTTAATTGGTTGCACCAGGGCCGATGCCGACCCTGCCACGCGACTGCAGTCTACAGGGCTGGCCATTCTTGACGGCATTATCCCCCTTTCTCTGCTCGTGTCCTGTGTCAACATCCCCACGTCCACTCCACAACCCTCCGTAGACCGGTTCACCACCACCCCTCTCTCGTTCTGCCCTCGGTCACCTGCCCCTGGTCCTTCTATCACAGGGTTGCCACCTGTCCGGGTTTGACCGGGGACAGTTCTGGAATTGGCATCTGTGTCCATACTACAGATAGCAGCAACGTACAAAAATAGCAAATAAAAATTGATGATAGAAAGGCAAAGTTGGATATTTAATGTGAGAACAAGAGAATTCATGTAAATGTGGGTTTGACGGTTAACATCAGAGGTCCTGCAAGAAGCCAGGAAAGACGGCGAGTTCAGTTACATAAGCAATTTGAATAATTGGATGCAACTGGGAGGATCGAATGCCAAGTCCTTGGATGAGCATCACGGACAGAGATAAATGGAGGAAAGGCCATGATCGCTGACGTCTTTGAGAAAGGTCACGGCTCACACAGAGAGAGTTCGGGTGGAAGGAATTGATTTGTAATGAGATCTGGTACCGGTATTGTGTTGAACTTTATTGCAGTTATCCTGCACAGTTGTTGATGGGCCTCGTACCGACTGAGAAACACGTGCGGGTTTGGTCGAGTGGGAAAGGTGGCAAACTTATTCTACGCTCACCGCTTTTCTTCTCCCGATGTGGTTCCCCTCTCTTCTTACGACATGTCCCCCTTGTTATCTGAGTCCAAAGGCTGGCTGCTGCTGATTAATAATCGGCCGAATTTTAAAGCGAAGAACGTGTGTATAATACTGTCCTTAGTGCGGCTGCTTTTGTGAGAGTCACGAAATTACATTTATGGCCTTTCCATCATCGCTCGGTCATAATCCTGTAGCTCCCGGGCATAAGCGGCATTGTGGGAGTGGCACCTCTCGACACAAGGGCAGCTGGGACAGTTCAAGGAGAAGACTGAGATCCATCACCACCACCACCACCGCCGCCGCCTTCTCAGTGCAACTCGGGATGGGCAATAATTTCTGGATTGCCAGTGACGCCCACATCCCGAGGGATGAATGAAAACAAAAACTCTGGCATTTAGACAAATTGTCGTGACTAGCGACTCTGTCTCTGTAGAGTCGATGATGCAATGCATGCGAGGAGAGAAAATTCACGGCAAGGGGAAGAGATAGTTGAAATAATGGGAAATAAGAGGAAAAGGATGGAAAAGGAACAGAGACATAGGAAGAAAGGATCAGGAAAGATGATCGGAAGAGGCTACACAAGGTCCGTGTCACTTCTGCACGGACGAGCGGCGTCTGTTTTCACAGTGGGCGGGGAGGAGAGGGGGGCGATTCAGAGTGGGGGTGGCCACACAAGCCACGTGATTTACGGGAGGCTTGAGCTAATCTAGATAGAGATAAATAGATGAGGGTCGCAATTTTCATTCAAGCAACGACAATCTTCGTGAAATTTTCACCGTACTGTCTGCATCGTTTTCCCATTCGTTCCGTCTCGTATGTACAAATCGATTTGCTCCATTCGCCTCGGGGTTGCGTTAGCATAGCGCTCGCATATAATTTTCATACATTTTAAACGATATATTTTTTCACCACGCACATACGGGCGAGCCTCGGAATCGAATTCCATGACGACAGGGACTCCTCTACTTACGAGTTAGGTTCCAGAGGTCTGTTCGTAAGTCCAACTTTACTCTTGTCGATTCCAAAAATGTTGGACGGCGTGTACACTAAACACGACGGGGAATGTCTTTAAAAGTTGCATAATCTCTTGTAGATCCCACCCGGTTCTTCACGTTCTGAAGATGTAGATGCCACCACCGCCATCTATTCCGCGGCGGCTGAACTTACGACCCTCGGTCCGAACAGGCAACTGGACATATGGACAGGTTTGTTCATATCTCTGAAAGTTCCTAAGTGTTCATAAGTAGAGGAGTCCCTGTAATCGACGCAATGTTATCTACTTTATATGGCGACGGAAAGTCCAAGTGACCTTTTTATAAATTATAATGCAATTTTGTGACACGCACGATCAATGTCGCAGATGGCGACTCTGAAGCATGGAGCCAAGCTCGGTGTCGCTCAAAGGCCAGGCGAAAGAGGTGGGACCTTTCAGAAAGATGCGGGGACTTTTAAGGTAGAGGCGGGGCCTTTAAGGTCGAGGCGGGGCCTATAAAGTCGAGGCGGGGCCTATAAGGTAGAGGTGGGGCCTTTAAGGTAGAGGCGGGGCCATTAAGGTAGAGGCGGGGCCTTTAAGGTTGAGGCGGGGCCATTAAGGTAGAGGCGGGGCCTTTAAGGTAGAGGCGGGGCCTATAAGGTAGAGGCGGGGCTTTTAAGGTCGAGGCGGGGCCTTTAAGGTAGAGGCGGGGCCTTTAAGGTAGAGGCGGGGCCTATAAGGTAGAAGCGGGGCTTTAAGGTAGAGGCGGGGCCTTTAAGGTAGAGGCGGGGCCTTTAAGGTAGAGGCGGGGCCTTTAAGGTAGAGGCGGGGCCTTTAAGCGACAGCAGGGCGCTATCCCTGATATTGGTAGCCCGAGTTCGTCGGTGGTGATCGACATCGGAACCGCTGGTGGACCTCCCCCAGGTCCATTCGACCTTAAAAAGGGCGCCGCTGGTGGTGGCGTGTAAACATCGGCATTGGGAAGACAAACGGGGGGGCTGTGGCACGGCCTCGGCCACGCCGTCACCTCTCGCGTGCCGCGTGGACGTTAATTGTCGCTCGCTAGCGGCGACTGCCCCGCAACTGTGCATGCTGCAGCGTGGCCTGTCTTGACTGCCATCATCCCTTGCCAGCGGGGCTGCCCAGAGGATCCTGGGACGGGATGCCACTCAGTGCTCCCCCCACCCCTCCCTTATTCATCGGTGAACAACAAAAACAGGGCCCCTTTGTGAGGCCCTTCGAAATGTGCACGGCCATATTTGCCGGTTGATGTGCGCGCGCACGCGCGTGTGTGTGTGTGGTGTGCTCGTGTGTTTGGCCAGACAGGCAAGGCCGCGAGAATGTGTGTGGGCAGGTGGGCGGGCAGGTGGGCGGGCAGGTGAGCTTGCAGGGGGATGGGCTGGCTGACGAGAGGGTGGATGGTCTGGCTGGCAGGCGGGCGGGAGGACAAGCGGGTGGGTGGGTGGGCTGGCTGGCTGGTTGGCGGGCGGACAAGCGGGTGGGTGGGCTGGCTGGCGGGCGGGCGCTATGGGAGCGGCTGCCTTCTCTCCACGGGCCACACGAGGCACAGCTCGCTGCCGGCCGAGATGATGGGCAGTCGGAAGTCACGGTGGTAGCGGATCAGGTGGCTCACGCTGTCGAAGCGGTGATCCTTAGTGCGGACCTGCACGCCGACGCACGCAGACGCACGAAACACCCACAGTCGTGAAACGCCACACGATTTATACAAATACAATCACAAGAGTCGCTGCTGCTCTGTTGGAATCCAAGGTGGCTATCGAGGTTGGAATCCACCATCTCAGTGGTTGCCAGCCGAGCGCTCACAATTCTGAGCCTCCCAGGAACATGTGGCTCACCAATCATCAAGCGACGAAAGCCACCATTGAGTCCAGAAGACTTTCAGGAGAGTCATGCAACATTGGGATATTTGGCCAACACGAATTATATTGGATGTTTTTTAGCTATGGGAGGAAACTGGGGAACCACGGAGGAACCCATGCGGAACAGGGGGAGACAGAGAGCACAGAGAACTCCACAGAGAGGCACTCGCGTCGCTGCGCTGCCTCCACTCTGCTGCCCCGCCGTGGCCTCCAGGGCTGCTCCGGCAACCCGCACGCGCCGCGCCTCTCTCCGCACCGTCCCGAGCTGTCGTTCTAAAACTCAATCGGGGTTCCGCCAAGCGGCGCCGGCGCTCACCACGCCCGTCGGGTCCACGAGCAGCACGTGCCGCGCCAGGCCTCCCTGCGACCCCGTGAGCACGAACTGTCCGCGGCTGCTGGTGCTGGCGCGCACCAGGAACTCCCCGTCGCGCCGCACCAGCGTCTCGGCGTCCTTGCGGGCGATGGGGCCGTGGTACCAGGCCTCGGCGCGCAGGGCGGCGTCCACGCTGCCGCCGCTCGCCGGGACCCCCTGCGGCGGCGCCAGCGCGTCGTGGAACGGCCCTGCCGGGACAGGACGCCGCCGGGTTTTGCGTTAGTCGTCGGCGTCGAGAGGGACAGGGGCGTGCGATCATCGCCCCGTGCGTTCAGAGACACGATGAGCAACCAGCGAGCTGCCAACCGACGTCGCCGCCGCTGCTGCCGCCGCGGCGGCGCCACTCACGCATGTCGAAGGCGTCGCGGGGGGACGCGGCGGTGGCGGCGAGCGGGCGCCGCTGGGCGGCGTCCCCCGCCGCGGCCCCGCCGCCGAGCCTCGTGTTCACGTAGCAGCGGCCTCCAGGCTCGCCCGCCGGGGGCTCGGGGATGGTCGGGCGGTCCCACGACACGAGGCCCACGCCTGCGCGCACTCACAAGCACGGAGGTTCCCCCCCGTGTAGGCCCCGTTATCGTGACACGACCGCGCCACCGCGATTTTTCGCTGCCAACAGTTGCCCAACCTCTGTGGTCCTTAATGTAGCCAATAGCTGAGTGGGCTTCACTTGGTAAATAAATACATGTGCTATTGAGGTGTCAACCAATTCGTGTCTGGGAGGAAACCCTCCTCGTCCCATAATGATGTAGCACCGACGCCGCGACGGGGGATAGAATCGTGCGAGTTTAAGCGCAAACATTTTGTTTTTACTCAACTTGGCCAAATTCCAGCCGCGTGAGATTTAAAGCGGTTTAAATCGGCACGCAGCAAGCACTCTTCACAGGGCGTGTACAGGACCGCGGCCTTTGTCTAGATAAGAAGGCCTGTCGCTGTATAAACGCTCACTCGTGCAGTTGGACAAACGTCCCAATGTAGGACCAGAGAGCTTGGGCAATTATTGGCAGCGTCAGACTGTGGTGTCCTACGCCTCCGAATCATTCTCTCTCTCTCTCCTTGTCTCTTTGAGAGCGAGCGCGACACTGCAGACGTTACCAATTACAAAAAGATTTTGATATCGGCGATGAGCCCCAGAAGGAATTCCGTGATATCGTTTTTCTAGGGATATTCCTCAGACACAGGGTGATACACTGCTCACTGCTGCTTCCAATTCCATCTCGGTCTCACGACACCACAGTGCCGATCGCGCAACGGGGATCATAACTCAGGGAGACCCATGATAATTAAACAAAAGAACGCAACAATAATTGGGAGAATAAATCTGAACAGTGGCTACTTGCCTTTCCTCCTGCCCGGGCTGCAGCTGACCGGAATCTCGAGCAAGGGAAGCCCCTCCGTGTGCATCACACTCAGCTGCGTCCACGCGGACCGAGGAGGAATAAAAAGGCACACGCACAGCTCCTGCGAAGCTTGCTTTTTGTTGCGAACGCGCGGTGGGTTTTGGTGTGTGGAGTGAGGGTGTGTGCGTGTGTGGAGTGAGGGTGTGTGCGTGTGTGGAGTGAGGGTGTGTGCGTGTGTGGAGTGAGGGTGTGTGCGTGTGTGGAGTGAGGGTGTGTGCGTGTGTGGAGTGAGGGTGTGTGCGTGTGTGGAGTGAGGGTGTGGGCCACGTCGCCGCACGTCGCACGGACGGACCTGCAGGCGAGCGTCGAGAAGGCCCCCTGCCGGAGGCTCCTTGCCCAGCACGCTGTTGTAGTAGTTGCACCGAGGGTCCCGCTCGTCCTCCGAGCCCCTGCCGCGAAGAACGCAGGTGAAACCGGCGCTGCGACGTGCCGCACGGTCGCTACACCGCACCGACGATCTCTAGCGACGGCGAAGCCGCTCACCTGTCGTGGCCGGTGCGCATGGGGCCGGGGCTCTGCAGGAACTGCCGGAAGCGCAGCTCGAACGCCTGGCCGATGGTGCCGATCACCTGCTGGGCGATGCCCTCCCCGCACTCCAGCACGTGGCACGCTGATGAGCGGGTGGGCGGACGGGTGATAAACGGGGGAGCGAGGTCAGAGGAAGACGAGGTTGGGGGGAAGGGAGGAGGAGATGCAGGGCGATGTCCAAGTGTGAGAGAAGGACGGAGGGAGCGTTAACTCGCTCCGCTCGGCCCGAATTCTAGAACTGTGACCAGGACTAGGGCCCACGGCGTAAAGAGAGGGTACTCGGCTCTAAGATCGGCAGTTCACGAGCATTGCTTCAAGCCAAGCTCGACTCTGCTGATGAAACACTGAATGTCAAAATCGGTGGTCCAGTGTGTTTGCTTATCTTGAATCAATCCTGCTAAAATTCTGCACTGCCAGAAGGCCACACGGCTGATGGCATGTGCGAGAAAGGCTTTTATTTTTTACGTGGACTCACGGATTGTACGTGAAGGAGATGCAGCGTCTGCTTATACCGCCGGGCCTAGCGCAGCGTCTTGGTGGTGGTGCCATCCCGGTCACCGAATGACCAGCGCACATTTTTTTGTTTTAAACTATCGCAGTAAGTTCTCCGTTTACATTGCTCCCATTTACGTTGCTTCACTACAACGTCGCCAACGAATTAGGGAACGCAATTCGATTCGCAATGCATTGGACTCGCTGCGTTTAAAATGTGAACGAAAATAACGCGGTGTGTTTGGGTGGCGTGCGGTGACGGACAACGTTACAGCGCCCCCAGGCTGGCATTCCAGACTCAGCGGTGACAACATCGCCGCACTGGAACACTTCTGCCCCTTCTCTGCCATCTCCCGGTGATGAGGAAGACTCCTCTACTTACGAACATTCGACTTACGAGATACGAACAACCTGGTCCGTATGTCCAGTTGCCTGTTCGGATCGAGAGTCGTAAGTTCAACCGCCGCGCAATAGTTGGCGGTGGTGTCATCTACATCTGCACAAGGTGAAGAACCAGTGGCATCTACATCTACAGGAGATAATACAACTTTTAAAGCCATTCCCCGCGTTTAGTGTACATGCCCTGCAACGTGTTTGGAGTCGACAGGAATAAAGTTGGACTTACGAACACATCGACTTACGAACAAGAGCTCTAAAACCTAAATCGTTCGTAAGTAGAGGAGTCGCTGTACTCCGTAAAAGTTATATTAGTTATTTAAACTTCTCATATAATATTTTTTTGGGTGTTATTTGTCATATTTTTTTGGGTATTTATTTAATATTTTTGTCAGCAAACTTTTAACAACAAAAAAAATTACCCACCCTGGAACGGCACCCTAAAATTTAAACCATTAAGTCAACGGTAAAGCAGGTTTCAATTTATGTCGTTTCGCCAAAAATCTCGTTTTTCCGGGCAGCATCCCCAACGTGAATAGGACTCACCGTACCAATTCTAAATCTACCACGGTGAAGATAAAAAAAATTATTCCCAAAGAGGATTTTGGGCGGCGCGGCGATCCGGCACCGAGGTGGTGCCGGGGAGACAGCGGGCACGAGTCCCTGGACCACGCGGTCGCGCCGCTGGTGCCGTGGAGACAGCGGGCGCGGGGTCCGGCCTTGGACTCACCTCTCTGGTTGACCGGGTCCTTGGCCACGTACGCCACGTAGTCGGCCATGTCCTGCGGCGACAGAAAACGCGGGCGGTTGGCGCGAGATCATTCGCACTGCAAAAGGTGACGCGACGAATTGGCACTCGGGAGATGAGTCACGCGCGACGCTCGTTCACTCTCAGAGTGAATGAGAGAGAGCGGGAGAGAGAGAAAAGACTGATTCAGAGATGCGGAAAATCACGGGCAAGTGTCGGGAAGGCAGCCAGAATTTTAGTGGCAACAATTGACCAAGCTGTGCGGTCCTATATTGGTATGTTTGGCCAATTTCATTTATAATGAGTGGTCATACACGTGGGAGAAACCCTGAATAGCCGGAGAAACCTCACGTGTGCGAGGGGGCAACCCTCAATCCCCGTACAGCTGGGAATGAATCCTATATTGAGATTTTTGGCAACTCAATGAATGAGTGTTTATACATGTGGGAGGAAACCGGAGCAACCCGGAGAAAACCCCGTAAGTGGGAGGGGGGTAACCCTCGATCCCAATACAGCTGGGAATTAAGCCGCTTGCTGGACTACCATCGCACCCTTGCAAGCCGGGAGAGACAGCGGCCCCGACTCCCGCTGGTATCGACTTTCGCAAATCTGTGATCCGCCAACACTCGGCTGCCTCCACGGCCAGCGGTGGCCTCTCGGCTCCTCCACAACGGGACCTGAGTACCCCGCGAGAGAGAACCATCGGCAGCCGCTGCCTTACACGAGCCTCCTCGTCCTCACCATGTCGCCTCCCGACGCGAACGAGATGGACTGCATGTGATGGGTGGCGATGATCTGTGAACAGAACGGGCAGAGGTGATGAACACTTCTAAGGGGAGATCGCGTCGTCTATTACAGCCCCACCGCTAACCGGGAGCGTGCGAGGCCGTGTACGCTGGTACACGGACCGGCGCTCGGGCTCGCTCGCACGTCGTAAAGGAAGACAAACAAACTCGCGCGGACACCGACCACCGGCTCGGCTAAGATGACACGCCGCCCATCGTGGACAACACCAGCGGAGGGCCCTGCTGGGACGGGACGTCGCTCCGGAGGAACGGCGGCAGCACCAATGGGGTGGCAGCGCAGGCGTCAAACACAGGAGGGGGGGGGGGGCCTGAAGAGAGGGGCGACGTGGGTCACGTGACGAGGGGACGCCCAGTGGCGCAAGGCGACTCGGTCTAGCAGCAGGGAGCGATGATTGCCGCCGGCTGGGGGTGAGGGCCAGGGGCTGTGGCCGGCTGCCGCTGCCCGTGGCGAGGCCAAGCTGTCGCTAAAGGCGACGCTGGGTGTGAGCTGCCAGCAGGGGACGTCAACGCCTTCAAACTAAACCGGACCTATCACACCTGACGCCGAGGGGCCCGGGGCGGTCGCCCCGATTCGCCGGTACCCCTAGGGACGGCTCTGGCTGTCGGTGCGGTTGGTGGCGAAATTCCGGCGTGGCCGAAGGGCGACGACGCTGGTGGTGAGAGGCTGGTGGTGAGAGGCTGGAGGTGTGGCTGGCTGGTGGTGTGCTCGTGGAAGGCTGGCCGTGTGCCTGATGGTGTTGGCAGGCGACTGCGGGTGAGGCTGGCGGTGTGTGGCCCGAACCTGCTTTCCGTCCACGGTGGTAAGGCTCACGTTGCCCAGGCTGATGGTGAGGGTGATGCTGCGGCCTGAGAAGCTCTGGTTGGTGGGCCCCAAGGCCTCCTCCACGGCCTTGTCCACAGGCTGCAGGGGGCGCCGCACACACACACAGTCCAAACCACACGTGGATGATTATTGTTATTATTATGATGTCGCTTGTTTACCCACTACAGCCTCACTGAGTCTCAAGATCCTTTTGAAGAGGGTCTTGCCAAGTTTCTTTATTTTTGCAGTAGGGGGCGATGCTGATCATCTGAAAGCGCATCGTGCGCTTCTGCGGCCGTCTGGAACGCTCTTCCTTCCGACATTTGGAATCCACTGGAGCTAGTAGACACTTTTAAATGTTGTTTGAAAACTAATTTCTCCAGAACTGCATTTTGTGTTTAGTTTGTTGTCCTTCCCCGGCACCTCCGATTAGCGCGGTTGGCTACGTACGGTGCGAAAGAAGTTCAACGTACATGCTGGCCATGAGAGGGAAATTATGATGACGACGATGATGAGAGAGGCAGAGAGGATGCGAGCAGAAGGGAGCTTGCACGGAGGAGTGGCGGAGTCTGTTTTTGCAGCGGGCGGCAACGGAGAAAGGGGAGGGATTCAGAGTGTGGTGGGGGCGGGGCCACGCAGAAGTCACGTGACGCACGGGAGGCTTGAGCAGGTTTAGGTAGAGAGGCTTTGTGTTGCTGCATGATGCTGGACTCGGTCGGTATACTCGCCTTGCGCTTCTTGAGGCCGGGTTTGGTAGAGGGACACACCTCGCTCACACGCGCGATCACCTCCCTGGGACACGCACACACGCACGCGCAAAGGCAAAAGATCTCTCGTGGAGCCTACACAGGCGGCTGGAGCGAGTGCTGTTTGCGAGCACCTATGAAGGCCGGTACGGCGCACGAGGGGGCGATGTTGCCAGCAACCACGCCCAGCCGCCTTTGTCTCCCAAACGGCGATGTTCACATATCGCACCAGATACTCATTTTAAGGCTGAGTCGACCTAGGGGAGGAGGTCCACAACCGGTTCAGATAATCGTCACCGGTGTTGGCTGTGAGCGGGAATCGAAATCGCTCACCGCTTATACAAGCAGACACACAAAGGCACAGGTACAGAAACATACACACAAATGCATAGGTACACAAAGATACACACAAAGGCACAGGTACACAAAGATACACAAACGCACAGGTACACAAACATACACACAAAGGCACAGGTACACAAAGATACACACAAAGGCACAGGTACACAAAGATACACAAAGGCACAGGTACACAAACATACCCACAAGGGCACAGGTACACAAAGATACACACAAAGGCAGAGACACACAAAGATACACACAAAGGCACAGGTACACAAAGATACACAAAGGCACAGGTACACAAAGATACACACAAAGGCACAGGTACACAAAGATACACACAAAGGCACAGGTACACAAAGATACACACAAAGGCACAGGTACACAAAGATACACACAAACGTACAGGTACACAAAGATACACACAAACACACAGGTACACAAAGATACACACAAACCCACAGGTACACAAAGATACACACGTACACACACAAGAAGTCAAAAGTTACGTTCTGCCTACATGACCATCGAGGCATTGGTTTCTCATCTCCCGTTTACAGCGCTGCACAGTCAGTGGTGGAAATGTCACGTTCCCATGACGTGGCCCAGGCCATTCACAATCTCGCCGCTGGGAAAACAGCTCGGGCGATTAAAATGGACGGGCGATGATGAATACGGACGGGCGATGAATATGAATGGGTGATTAATACGAACAGGCAATTAATATGGGCGGGCGATTAATACGAACGTGTGATTAATACGAACGGGCAATTAATATGGGCGGGCGATTAATACGAACGTGTGATTAATACGAACGGGCAATTAATATGGGCGGGCGATTAATACGAACGGGCGATTAATACGAACGGGCAATTAATACGGGCGGGCGATTAATACGAACGGGTGATTAATACGGGCGGGCGATTAATACGAACGGGCACGGTCCTTGCAAGCTCCCAGCTTCGGGCAGGTTCTGTCACGTGAGATGCACAACAGGGGCACGTGAATAATGGAAGGGATTAGGGGCAGCAGCAGCAGCAGCAGCGTTGATCGCATTTCCTGGATATTCGTGCGGCTGTATCACGCCCGCACCGTTCTCTGTGCATACAGTCGCGTTAAACCTTTTATGACCTCTCCGTTTACATGCCACGAAGTAGGGCCATTGCCCGAAACGTCGCCTATTATATATTGTTTTCCTTCTAAGGCCACTGTTTTTTGACGAGTATCAAGTTTTAGCAGGGGTTCCGTGTGAATCATTTATTGTTGTTTTGGCTCGCGTTACTTTGGACGTTCCCTCACACTCTATGGGTCTCTATGTAACTCTATGGGTCTGTAACTCTATGGGTCTCTATCTAACTTTATGGGTCTCTATGTAACTCTATGAGTCTCTATGTAACTCTATGAGTCTCTATGTAACTCTATGGATCTCTGTGTAACTCTATGGGTCTCTATGTAACTCTATGGATCTCTGTGTAACTCTATGGGTCTCTATGTAACTTTATGGATCTCTGTGTAACTCTATGGGTCTCTATGTTACTCTATGGATCTCTGTGTAACTCTATGGGTCTCTATGCGACTCTATGGAGCTCTGTGTAACTCTATGGATCTCTATGTAACTCTATGGGTCTCTATGTAACTCTATGGATCTATATGTAACTCTATGGGTCTCTCTGTAACTCTATGGATCTCTATGTAACTCTATGGGTCTCTATGTAACTCTATGGATCTATATGTAACTCTATGGGTCTCTCTGTAACTCTATGGGTCTCTATGTAACTCTATGGATCTCTGTGCAACTCTATGGATCTCTATGTAACTCTATGGGTCTCTATGTAACTCTATGGATCTCTGTGTAACTCTATGGATCTCTATGTAACTCTATGGGTCTCTATGTAACTCTATGGATCTATATGTAACTCTATGGGTCTCTCTGTAAATCTATGGATCTCAGTGTAACTCTATGGGTCTCTATGTGACTCTATGGATCTGTGTGTAACTCTATGGGTCTCTATGTAACTCTATGGGTATCTATGTAACTCTATGGATCTCTATGTAACTCTATGGGTCTCTATGTAACTCTATGGATCTTTATTTAACTCTATGGGTCTCTCTGTAACTCTATGGGTCTCTCTGTAATTCTATGGATCTCTGTGCAACTCTATGGATCTCTATGTAACTCTATGGGTCTCTATGTAACTCTATGGATCTCTATGTAACTCTATGGGTCTCTCTGTAACTCTTATGCAGCTGCAATGTCCCGTAACCACCGCCATCGGCGACGGTCTTGGGCTGGTGGGCGACCTTGCAACGGAGCTGCGTGGCTCAGCGGGGCTTCGCCAGCTGAGATAACAAAGCCCGCGTGCGAGAAACGTTGTCGGGGTTTCTTGTCGCGAATTGCGCTTGGTGCACCGCCACTGCCAATGCTGCAGCAGCACCAGTGCCGGATTATCCCAGCAGCACAAGTAGATACACGTGTAGCACAAGTAGCTACACGTGCAGCACAAGTAGCTACACGTGCAGCACAAGTAGCTACACGTGTAGTAGCTACGGGCCCCGCACTTTCAAGGGCCCCGCGCTAAATGCTTTCAAGCTATCAATTCCGGTTCAGTGATTCTGCACTTGTTCTATTGCTATAGTACTGTACCGCCTTAAATTTTTATGAACGACTGGGTTAGCGATTTGTCGTATTATCTGGCTGTATAGCAAATAAAAAAATACAATTACTTAACTATGCGAGTAAAAAAAAAAAATCTGTGTTTTAAAATGTATTTATATTTTAATTTAAGGTCCCTTTATAACATATGCTACAGGCCCCGCACTAGCTGAATCCGGCACTGAGCAGCATCACGAAAAAAACGCCTGTCTCTCAATGGTGTCATTTTAACAAAGTTGTTGAGCACAGGCGCAAAACGGGACAACAACGTCACACGAACAGCACCATCGAAGTTCTAGCTGGAGAAAGAATGCAATGCAACTGGCATCGGCCTTTCTTGCGTGCAGTTCGTGTGTCGTCTCCCACTGCTCCGCATGGGTTTCCTCGGCTTTCTCCGGTTTCCTACCATGGCCACACCAATCAGTGTGACTGGTGTTAGGCCAAACGTGCTAACGCTGAAAAATCACCAGCGCGTTACTTAGTTGGGATCACACCCACACACAGGAGCAACGGCAGAAGAAGCATCATCGCCTCCTACTGCAGAAACAAATAAACTTGGCAAGACCCTCTTGAAAAGGGTCTAGGGGCTCGGTAAGGCTTCTAGAATTGACCGAATAATCTTAGGGAAAGAGACGACGGGAGGGAATTCCAAAAACCCCATAACGCCACGCGGCCAGCAACAAGGCAGCACGGTCAAAGCTGTCACAGATAAGAATCGTCTAAACGTTTCTAGAGCTGAGCGAGGTTGTTGTTGTTGTCGAAAGGCGCCCGAGTCTGGAATGGGACTCGGGCCCCTCCACGCTGCCAGGCGCGAGGTCACCGCCACGCTGCCATCGCCCTTGCCACCCACGTCCCCTCCTCCGAGGGCCGCGCCCGGGTGGCACGGAGCCACGGCGCCGCGGCTCGGCTTTCTCTCCGATTTCATCGACCCACCGGCTTCGCTTGCGGCCATTAACGGTCGCCGGGGGGAGGACGAGGCCGGCTAATGGACGACGAGATCGATGGAGGCTCCACGGGAGGGAGGGAGGCTGAGTGGGGTGCGGAGGAGAACAATGACGGGAGGAGGAGGGCGGAGGAGGGTGAAGGAGGGTGAGCTCCTCTCGCCGCCTCTCCGCGTCCACCCGTCTGCCAGTGGGGTGACTCATGTCGGCGCTGTTAAGGAGTGACCCTGCCAAGGTCACGGGGTCGCGAGGTCGTCAGTGCGCTCGCTCCCTTCCTTCTGCCCAGCGCCGTGAACGTCGCACGACCTACGCGGTCTGCTTGTCGGGCGGCAGGGCGCCTTGCCGCAAGAAGGTTCAATTCCCGACTCGGCCACCTTTCTGTGTGGAGTTTGCACGTTCTCCTCCTATTCCGCATGGGTTTCCTCTGGGTTCTTTTTTTTGGCCATAACATCCCAATGATTAAAATTACCTGCAAATTTCTTAATTGGGGTTATGCACAGCAGCAGCGTCGCCCCCTCTGCTGCAAACACTAGGTAGGACCCTCCTGAAAATGAGCCTTGAGACTCAGTGAGGCTTTCCTTGATTGTGTGCGTGGAGTTTTGTCCTCCCCCCTGTTTTACTTGGGTTTCTTGCGGGTTCTCCAGTTTCTCCTCCCATAGCTAAAAATAAATAAATAAATAAATATCACGATGTAGCACTAGTCTCCCGAAAAAAAGACTCGGCACTGCGTTGCCACTGTGCAGGAGTCAACACGCACGTCCTTCGCAGACCTCTCCTGCAGTATCATCGACACCGTCTGGCCTCCCCCTCTGGCTGGAGATCAACGCAGTTTGAAAGCGGCAGCGTCTCGGCTCTGTCCGCCTGTAAATGGGTCGTCACAATAACTGCCGTACAGACAGGGCCGACCACGGGGGCGGGGGAGTGCGGGGCCCGAGGCAACCCGCAGCGAGTTGGCCTCCCTCCCCCCACCCCAATGACTTCAAACTAAACTGGAAGTATTAGATCGGACACCGCGACGTCAAAGTTCGGGGCCCCCCCAAAAGCGCGGGGCCCGGGGCGGCCACCCCGACTCCCCGTCCTCCGAGGGGCGGCTCCACGTACAGATCCAATACGAACCAAACCGTCGTGCAGTATAAAGTTGCGTTGATATCGGTGATGTTACGCATCGAAAGCCGGCTACATTGATCGCGCGGGGACTCAAAGGAGCGTTAAAGGACCCCGCCTCGGCGGCCCCGGCCCTACCGGTAGAAACGCACCCATCCTGGGTAGAGCCGCTGTGCGAGCCCCATGGTCCCACAGCGGCCTACGGCGCTAGCGCGTGGGAAAGCGTGGCGGCAAACGCGCGTAGGCACGGTTCGTCTTCCCTGTTGAACGGAAGAGGAAAGAAAAGGGAAACGGCGCGGCGACGATGCGTGGTCGTCCCCGGCAAAAACCATCGCCCTCAACTTGCTCCGAGCTAAAGGCGCAGCGGCGCAATCACTGGCGCGGTGCTGACGCTCGTGGAACGGCTCCTAACTCGAGGGAGCTCAAGAGGGCTTCTCTAGAGTGTATTTGGCCTACTCGTCCGACGCTGGCTAGATAGGGTTGTCACCTTTTCCACAGACCAAGTCCCGAGGTCCATCAACACTGCCACAACAGCTCAACACAACAAGACCGGTGGCAGATCTCGGTACAAAAGCAATTTCACGCTGCTGCCCCAACACGAATGCCAACTTCCCGGACTGTACCCGGTCAAACCCGGGACAGGTGGCAACCCTATGGTCAGACACGTCTTGGAAGAGATGGGCGTACACACTCTCGACCCCACCGCCCGTGACCCTGCCGTGACCCTGCCGTGGTGTTACCCATTTTCAGTGCTGGCTGGGTAGACAGATGCGGTGAGGGAGGTGTGGGGAGGGGGGAGGATTTTGAATTCGAGAAAACTCGCATCCACTGTTGCAACCTCCGCCGCCGGGAGACGGGAGTCGAACCGGCGGCCTCTGGTTCGCGAATCTGGCGTGGGAAACGAACTGAAGGAACTTTGCACTGGTGGAGTCCTTGGAGTTTCACCTCCCACTCGCGAGCCGCCCCACCCGCCCCCCGGCCGTGAGGCCGCCGCCGCCGCTCCGTCCGCGCCGCGGCCGCATGGACCGCGAGCCGCTAATGTCTCTCGCGCGGGATCCCCTGGCCGGTTGCCGTGGCGGCGAGGGATCGGTTGCCGTGGAGACTCACCGGGTCAGCTGAGTGCGAGTGCTGAACGGCAACGCCCGCATGGACTGCAGCACCTCCATGCAGCCCAGATACTGTGCACAAAGACAAAGGTCCCCCGCCGCGTGGCCTTTAACGGATCGTTAGGACGAGGGGTTGTTAACGGCCCCCTATGAAGGTCGGCAGGGCGCGCGAGGGGGTGGCCGGCCAACAATATTCCCCGCCTCCTTAGTCTCCCCAATGATGATGTTTACACGACACTGCACTGGGTAGTCATTTAAGGCTGAGTCGACCTAGTGGAGGTACGGGACCGGGTCAGATATTCGTCACCGGTGTCGGCCGCGAGCGAGAAGCGAACTTGGGTCGCTGGGTTCGTCGCACAGTGCAAGGCGCAGTAGTAGAAGCAGTAATAATAATAATAAAAGCAGCATGCCCCCGTAGACAGAGTTGCCCCATGGCGCAGCGAGGACTCTCACCTTGACGAGGTAGGACACTCCGGCTCCGGTGATCCGCTCCACGGGGTGAGGCCACCCGGCCGCGGCCTTGCTCGCCGCCGTCCCCGCGGGCCCCGGGTCGCCCCCGTAGGGCCCGGGCCGCCCGCCCAGCGCCGTAGCCGTGGCGGCGACCGCGGCGGCCTCCGTCTCTCTGGAGGCCAGGGCGGCACGGAGGTCCATGTCTGACGGCGGAGGATCCTGCGAGTTGGCGGTGGAGATCGCGCGGTCAGTTCCTCTGCGAGGGGATCACGACTTGGGACACGGAACTTGGTAATCGCAACATTTGTCTGTACCGTTAAATAAATGAACAAGAAAATGTACGTGATACTGTGTTGGCAGTGGTGCACAAAGCATAACTAATAAAATGCAACACATTCTATTAAACTAAACTATTATTGTATTCTGCCAGGTAAGGCCCACCGAGCTATGTAGCTCTTTTTCAGAAGTGACCTGGCCACAAAATGATAGCCCAATTAAGTGGCTCATCATCGTGTGGAAATGTAATGCGGCCAAATACTCAAAACGCCTGGTGTTGATTTTAAATGTGGAGGGAATAAGCGGAGGACCTGCAAAAAATCCTCATGACCACGGGGAGAGAGACACGCAAACTCCAAACATACAGCAGCAGGCGTCACGGTCGCGATTGAACCCACGACCTCCTGCATACCTGGCGAGGTAGTTAACATCTTACCACCATGACACACCATTCGACAACAACAGCGTGTGTGTGGCCCGACATGGAACAGGCGTACAATCGGTAACGCTTCGAACAAAAAGGCCGACATTTCTAAACGTCGTCCGTGTTCACGCCCGTTGACTCCGCGCAAGTTCCCAAGCGCTCCGAGTGGCCGGCGACCTGCGGCAGAGTTTCACCAACTGCAGTTCACTCAACATCGGCCTCCTGCCGTGAGCCCCTTCATGATCGTCGCAAAGACGCCGCGTACCAACGGTGCAGCAAGGAAAGTGGCAGCAGAGTCGAGGATAGAATGTCTGGGAAAGGAGAAGCAGGCAGCAGGCAGTAGGCGGGGGGTGTGAGATGCGTGGGAGAGGGAAGGGGACGATGCCCTCGTAGGTGCCCGAGATGGTCGAAGAGGAGGGCACGGCTCAAGATGAGCAGCAGGAAGAGAGGAGGAGTGGCGGTGCAGCAAGGGGAGGAGGAGGAGGCACGGAAGAAATGCCCGGGCTGAGATGTCGGGGGATGAGAGAGTGATGATGATGAGAGGGGAGGGAAGAGAGGGAGAGACAAGGAGCGAGCAGAAGTGAGCTGCAAAGAGGAGCGGCAGAGTTTGTTTTCATAGCGGGCAGCGGGGAGGGGTTCAGTCACGTGACTTGCGGGAGGCTTTGAGCTGATTTAGACATACATATTACATATCATGCTAACAACACACGTGCTGGCGGTTACACGAAAATATATAATCCGATTACTAAAACTATTTGTCATGTAATTGCCGCACAGTCAATTATTCCTAAAGGCCTTTAGGAAAGCACGAATTTAATAGGTGGGAGCCGATTATTTATTTACAACTCCAACGACCGGGGCTCTTTGCGTTTTCATATTTCGTCGGTATGGAAAAATTTTAGGGGACAAAAAAAAACGAAGCGACGGTTATCGCGATAATAAAGAGGGTTTGTCGGGGTTAGATCGCGTAAATATAAATATGTCGTTATACCCGCCACCACCCGACACAGCCAACTAGTAAGGTTTGTCACGTAAACAGAACGTGCCAATTCGTTACTCGTACAGCACAAAACCGGTTGTGTTGTTGGAGAGAAAATCCACAACATTTACAATCCGAGGACGACATTTCGCCAGTAATTACAACTAACTTCATCAGGCGGACAGCCAGGATCGGTATATAAGCATCGCGATATATACCGATGCTGACGAAAAGTGGACGGTACAATTGTCGCGGAGCCTATGATAACCGTGATTATGATTATTATTCCACTCGTTTAGCCGAGAGTGCATCGCCGAGCCTCCAGATGCTTGTTCAGGAGGGGTTCTGCTGTAGGGGCCACGGTGTTACTTCTGCTGCTGCTGCTGTTGTTGTTGCAGTGTCATCCCAATTGAAACACGCATTGAGATGATTTAGATAATTTTGCTGCTATGAATGTCCAAATGATGGGTGCCACTTTGTTGAGCTATCATTTGTGGCCAGGTCGCTTCTGAAAATTAAGTTAACACCTCAGTGGGTTTTGCCTACTAGGACGGGGATGGTTTAGTGTTTTATTTGTTTACTTTTGGGTGATTTGTTTAACTTTCTTGTACTTTGCATTCCTATCGTGTCTTTGCACTGTTTGTTGTTGTAACGCTCTTACCTGCCCCTACTGGACATCTGCAAAAAAGAGATTTATAGCTCATCGGATTCCTCCAGTATAAATAAATATTCAGATTCCGAGTAATTTGCCGGTAATTTTTCAGCATTGGAATGTTTTTTGGCCCAACAGCGGTCACACCGTGTGTGGGGTTTTCTAGCTACGGGAGGAAACCTCCAGATTGCCCAGAGGAAACCCACGGGGAATATAGGGAGAGAGAACATACGAACTCCACACTCACACTGACGCTCTCACCAACACTCACACTCTCTGCAGAATCAGGAACAGAACGTACAAACTCCACACGCAGAAAAGGGCCCCGAGTCAGAGATCAAACCCAGACGCTGCTGGGTGCGAGGCCACGGGCATCACCACTGCGGTGCCACCACCCCAGCACCCAATCATTCGTAAAGGAATTGCCCACCTACCACGGCGGGGCATCTTACAGAATCATCACCATGATCAGGAGCTTATGGTGGGGACGGTGGCCCGGAAGGCTTAGGGGAGTTAATATCTCGCCGGGGGTCGCTGAGCCGGCACCGCTCGGACCGCGAGACTCAAAGACCGGATGACAGCCGCTGCCCGCGATTAGACCGGGATCTCGAGTCGAGCGGATTTATGGTCTCGGCCCGTCCACCGATCCCCCGTCATCCAAGAACAAGGGGTCATTGCCCGAAACATCGACTGTTATATATATACTTTTTTGCATTTTAATTTCGGCTCCAATGGCCACAAAAAGCAGAGGTTCGATTGCCACGTGACCCGACCCAACAAGCCCGCGGCCTAGAAGGGCGCGTGACAAAATGCACACCGCCAGCCCGTGTGGATACGGCCCGATTGAGGTGACCCCAGAGGTAGTTCCGTGACGACAACTTCCACGGTCGTTCTCTTCCGCACAGAGGTGAAAACAGGAAGTGGAATTTTCCTCGTCTCAACGATGTGACCTTTAATCGCGCAACTGGAATCCAATTGTCATAAATTTTCTCTAAATATTTTCTCTCAAAATGTTCACGAATGTCACACGTGTCACCGTGGCTTGACTGCCACCCTCGCTCGCGACGATTTGATCCGGGGGGCAGGGGAGTTGGAATTTTTCAAATGACGTGCTCGTCTACCCAGCTACCCAGGGAGAGCCTCACCGTGTCCCGACACTTTTCTCTCAGGAGGGTCCTGGCAAGTTTTGCGCACGGTAACGTTTTGCGGAATTGGAGGGGGGTGAGTAATTCTGTGGGTTATGTTTTTGAAATTTTCGTCAATTTGGTCCAAAATTGGCACCACAAGCACCACAACTACCACCACCACAACCCCCAACACCACAATCAGATCGAAAATTCCAGCGGTGTCAGAGAAGGCGTTTGGACTTTTCGACCACGGAGGAGGAGGGTTATACTTGTGAATATTCATGAAGTCTAACCCCAACCATCACCATAACCCTAACCCCAACACGATATCCAGGTCTCACTTGAGATGGAATAAAAACCCAACGCACTCGTCAACAACACCGTGGCCTTAAAAAAACATATACACAGGGGGCTTCAAAACCATGTGAACACTTCGGAGAATTTGCAACAAGACCACGAGAAATGTCCCTCCAGCTCTAGAGACCACCTGGAGAAGATTCCAGACACGCGTTGACTCTTTGAAGCTATTAACATACATTTGTTATCATGTTACAGTGTATTATCCGTTCTTTTTTCATTAAAACTCGAAATTCCCACTGATGTGTTAACATTTTTGTGAAGCACCCTGTACTTTAAATCGGTGACGTTTTGGGAAATTAACCTTCTTCATGGCACATAAACAGAGGTCAATTAGAGAGACGGAGTGGACGATGGGAGTTGGAGGCTGGGTGGCCTGAGACTGCGATTTGCCCCTACGACCGATTCGACCGTTGTCACTCAGATCGTGCGCCGCGTGTGGAGGAGCGCGGAGAGTGGCCGGCGCGGCCACGTCAAGGGGGAGTGGGTGGGGTGGGTGTGGTGGAGGCGTTACCGCGTCCGTGGGTCGCGTCGCTCCGTCATCGTTCCCCCTGGGGCCCGCGCTCGCCCCCACATCCCCTCCCCCACCCGGCGAGGCCCCCGCCGGCGCGCCGCCGTGGCCGCCCGCCGCCGCCTCGGAGAGCGCGGTCGGACCGGGGAGCTTGACGCGCGGCAGGAGGCCGCAGAGCTGGCCCGCGGCGCAGGCGGCCTCCTCGCCGTCCTCGTCCGTGTCGCTGCACTGCGTCAGGTAGTCGCCGTTGTCCCTGAAGCTTTCCGAGTCTTCTTCTTCTTCGTCGTCGGCGACGGCGCCGTCGAAACTTTTGGCGGCGCCGCCGGCGTGGACCGCGATGGGCGGAGGCGAGCGATCCGGGAAGGAGGCCGGAGCGGCCACGGTCGCGGGAGCGGCGCCGTGTCCCGGTAACGGCCCGGGACCGGGGCCGGCGGAGGCGCCGGCGCCGCCGCCGCCGCCGTCCATCTCTGGGCAAGCGGCGAGCTGCGCGGGGCCGTCGCGGGCGGCCCCGCCGCTCGTCCGCTCGTCCGCCGAGGTCACGGAGTCGTTACGGAAGCGGCTGTACTTGGGCCGGTGGAGCATTTGGAGCCGGAGCGGTGGCAATGACCGTCGCCCGGGCGGGGACTTTGCGCTCGCGGCGACGATTGCGGGGTCCGCACGCAGCCTCAACGACGCGGCCGAGCCAAGCGCCTACGTCGCGCCGCGTGGGAAACTGGACGAGCGCATCGCGGGGCCGGACTGCCCAGAAACCAGGGATATTTGTCTCTTCAAGACGCAGGACGGCCAAGAGACGCTTTTCGTTGGAATCGAAGATATGTTTTCCCACGCGACGCGTCACGAACGTCGTCGCACGCGGTCCCGTAAAACCGATCGCCGGAAATTTCGGAAAATTTTAAAATCTGAATATTTTCCCACGGTCGCCTTCGTCAGAGAGAACCCGGCACGGACGGCCAAGCGTGCGGGCACGTGAAGGCGTCCGACCGCGGCCGTCAACGCGCGCGTTGCCACCTCGAGGCGGCTCTACTTGAAGGGCGCAGCGTGAGCGGCGGTGACTGCGACGACGGAGTTCTCCACAAGCCACAAGGACGAGTTCCCGAAGAGCATACGGGCAGACGAGACGTCACGATCGCCTCCGTTCCGGATGATTATTTAAACCCAGGTCGCCTCTTGCCCTGCCCAGAGACGCTCCCGGTCGTCTTGGTCGTCTCTTGATTGGTCTCAAAGCCGCTCGCAGGTCTCCGAGATCGTCAGGGTCGTTATATATGGTTCTCCAATCGGCACAGCCACGGATCGCGGGTGCACAGGCAGGCCGCTTTACACTTGAACGCCAGTTTGAACTCGCGGCTGAACATGCAACATCAATTCAGAGGCCGGCCCTTCTGCAACATCTCTTGGCTTCCGATAATTTTCTTTTATCCGCGCGTCGATCGATCGCGTTCACCGCCCTCCGCGGGACCTCTCTCCACCCCCGGCGCTGAGACGGGCGGCGGTGGCGATCCGCATCGGGCACGAGGACGGAACCGGAGCCCGATCCTCACAGCGTCTCGCTCACCGCCCGACCGAGAGGTGCCGACCCGACGAACAAAAAAAATCCCGATCCCACCGCTCCAATCCCGCCGCCGTCCAAACTCACGGTCGGTCTCCTCCCCTGCCGGCGTGCCCAACCCGCAGGGCTTCCGAGCGCGCCCAGGAATCCGCGCAGGTCCCTGGGTCCAGCAGCGGCTGCGATGTCGGCGGACGCGGGAATTCTCCCCGTCCCCGCCCCGTCGGAGCGAGGGTGTGGCCGCCGCTCGCTCGCACCCGCTCCGAGCTCTCGCCCCGATCCCGCCGCGGGGCTCGCCCCCGGGGAGGGGGTGGGGGGTCACAGCCGAGCCTGCACGGCGGCGTTCTGACGACCGAGAGCCACGGGGCCGGGGAGGCTCCGAGACGACCGAGAGCCACGGGGCCGGGGAGCTGTGGCCGCGCTGCTGCTGCTGCTAACGCAATGGGTCGGCGCGTCGCGGAAGCCGCAAGGCCACACCGCCCAGGACTGCGCGGCAGATGTGCGAATGGTTTCAAACAAAATAACGACGGGGAGGAGCAGGAGGAGGGAGGAAGGGGTGGGGGTCAGAAGGGAGGCATCTGTCAGGGACACCCGAGATGCTGCTGCTGCTGTTGCTGTTTCCCCTCCGGTAATGAGCCAAGGGGCGACCACGCAAGCCTCACTCCGGCCAGAGGAGAGCGAACTCGCGAGGCGTTAGGCGGCGAGAGCGCCACGCATTGAGGGCAGTCTCAAGGGGTCACCCACGTGGACACGGGGAGGCACTCTGCAAAGATGCGAACGTAAAGATAGAGGTCACCCGTATAGCCCTTAACGGACTGCTGGGGCAAGTGCTGGTGAGCGAGTTGCACCGATGGGTGGGTGGGGCGGATAGTACAACGCCCGGCCACCTTTGTATCCCCAGCGGTGCTGATGTATTTTTGACCTTGGAGGGGCGGGTTCAGATATTCGCCGCTGCAATGAGCGGCGTGAGCGGGAATGTAACTCGGGGCTCGCGGGGTTCGTAGTGCCGTGCAGCGCTAACCGCTGCACGGCACACACAGCCACACGCACACACACACACAAAGACACACGCACACAGACACACACACAGACACACGCGCACACACACAGGCACACACACACAGCCACACGCACATACAGGCACACACAGGCACACAGGCACACACACAGGCACACACACACAGGCACACACAAAGACACACGCACAGCCACACGCACAGACACGCACACAGACACACACACAGGCACACACACACGCAAAGACACACGCACATACACACAGGCACATACACACACGCAAAGACACACGCACAGACACACACAAAGACACGCACACAGACACACGCACACACGCACGCACACAGGCACACACACACGCAAAGACAAAGACACGCACAGACACACGCAAAGACACACGCACAGAGACACACGCAAAGACACACGCACAGATACACACAAAGACACGCAAAGACACATAAACAGACACAAAGACACACGCACAGACACACATAAACAGACACACACACGACAGACACACGACACACACATGACACACATGACAGACACACACGACACACACATGACAGACACATGACACACACATGACAGACACACACGACACACACATGACAGACACATGACACACACATGACAGACACACACGACACACACATGACAGACACACGATACACACATGACAGACACACACGACACACACATGACAGACACACACGACACACACGACACACACATGACAGACACACGACACACACACGACACACACATGACAGACACACGCTCTCTCACGCTCACTTGCCCGCACGCTGCCATCTCTGCGACACGCGGCGAGGCTCCCCCACACCCCCACTGTGGCCGCCGGCCCGCGGGAAGCGCTCGCCCGTGGGGGGAAGGCCACGGGGGGGGAAGGCCACGGGGGGGGGAAGGCCACGGGGGGGGGGGAAGGCCACGGGGGGGGGAAGGCCACGGGGGGGGGGAAGGCCACGAAGGGGAAGGCCACGGGTGGGGAAGGCCACGGGGGGGGGGAAGGCCACGGAGGGGGGAATGCCACGGGGGGGGGAAGGCCACGGGGGGGGGGGAAGGCCACGGGGGGGGGGAAGGCCACGAAGGGGAAGGCCACGGAGGGGGGGGGGGAAGGCCACGGCGGGGGGGGGGAGGCCACGGGGGGGGGAAGGCCACGGAGGGGGGGGGGGCGGCCACGGAGGGGGGGGGGAAGGCCACGGCGGGGGGGGAAGGCCACGGGGGGGGGAAGGCCACGGAGGGGGGGGGGAAGGCCACGAAGGGGAAGGCCACGGGGGGGGGAAGGCCACGGGGGGGGGGGGAGGCCACGGAAGGGGGGGGAGGCCACGGAGGGGGGGGGAAGGCCACGGAGGGGGGGAGGGGGAAGGCCACGGGGGGGGGGGAAAGGCCACGGAGGGGGGGGGAGGCCACGAAGGGGGGAGGGGGAAGGCCACGGGGGGGGAAGGCCACGGAGGGGGGGGGGGAAAGCCCACGGGGGGGAGGCCACGTTGCCCGCCCCCTCGCCGCACGGACCCGGGGGGGGGAGGCGAGACCCGGGACGGTGGGGACGAGAGGGAGACGAGAGGGAGAGAGGAATGGCCGTGCTGGGTGGGTGTGATTGGGTGAGGGTCTGGTGAGGGTGTGGTGAGTGTGTGGTGAGGGTCTGGTGAGGGTGTGGTGAGGATGTGGGTCTGGTGAGGGTCTGGTAAGGGTGAGGGTCTGGTGTGGGTCTGGTGAGTGTGTGGTGAGTGTGTGGGTCTGGTGAGGATGTGGGTCTGGTGAGGGTGTGGGTCTGGTGTGGGTCTGGTGAGGGTGTGGTGAGTGTGTGGGTCTGGTGAGGGTCTGGTGAGTGTGTGGGTCTGGTGAGTGTGTGGGTCTGGTGAGTGTGTGGGTCTGGTGAGTGTGTGGGTCTGATGAGTGTGTGGGTCTGGTGAGTGTGTGGGTCTGGTGAGTGTGTGGGTCTGGTGAGGGTGTGGGTCTGGTGAGGGTCTGGTGTGGGTTACTGGTCGATGCAGCAGAGCTGGGTGTGATGCTGGCCACCCCCACCACTATCCCATCTCCTCGTAGATGTTCCCTGCCAGCCCTGCATAGCCGAGCTCTCTAACAGCACTTGGCCCAACACCCTGGTAAAGGCTATACGGGGATCTTTGTCTTTGTGGCGTTCTCGAGGCGGCGGCAGCAGCAGCAGCCCCCCCCCTCCCCCCAGGGACTCTCCACGCGAGCTGCACTCTCAGCTGCACTCTCAGCTGCACTCTCTCTACCCGCCTAATGATGCCTCCCCCCCCCCCCCCTTAATCTCCCTGTCCTTCTCTCTCACTCCCCCTGCCGCACTCTGCCCATCTTTTATCTCTCCCTGTCTCTGTCTCGTGAGCTCTCCCTGCCTCTCTAAATTATCTCTCACTGTCTCTCTAAATTATCTCTCCCTGTCTCTCTAAATTATCTATCCCTGTCTCTCTCAATTATATCTCCCTGTCTCTCTCAATTATCTCTCCCTGTCTCTCTAAATTATCTCTCCCTGCCTCTCTAAATTATCTCTCCCTGTCTCTCTAAATTATCTCTCCCTGTCTCTCTAAATTATCTCTCCCTGTCTCTCTCAATTATATCTCCCTGTCTCTCTCAATTATCTCTCCCTGTCTCTCTAAATTATCTCTCCCTGTCTCTCTAAATTAGCTCTCCCTGTCTCTAAATTAGCTCTCCCTGTCTCTCTAAATTATCTCTCCCTGTCTCTCTAAATTATCTCTCCCTGTATCTCTAAATTATCTCTCCCTGTCTCTTTAAATTATCTCTCCCTGTCTCTCTAAATTATCTCTCCCTGCCGCTTTAAATTATCTCTCCCTGCCTCTCTAAATTATCTCTCCCTGTCTCTCTAAATTATCTCTCCCTGTCTCTCTAAATTATCTCTCCCTGTCTCTCTAAATTATCTCTCCCTGTCTCTCTAAATTATCTCTCCCTGCCTCTCTAAATTATCTCTCCCTGTCTCTCTAAATTATCTCTCCCTGTCTCTCTAAATTATCTCTCCCTGTCTCTAAATTATCTCTCCCTGTCTCTCTAAATTATCTCTCCCTGCCTCTCTAAATTATCTCTCCCTGTCTCTCTAAAGAATCTCTCCCTGTCTCTAAATTATCTCTCCCTGTCTCTAAATTATCTCTCCCTGCCTCTCTAAATTATCTCTCCCTGTCTCTCTAAATTATCTCTCCCTGCCTCTCTAAATTATCTCTCCCTGCCTCTCTAAGTTATATCTCCCTGTCTCTCTAAATGATCTCTCCCTGCCTCTCTAAATGATCTCTCCCTGTTTCTCTAAATTATCTCTCCCTGTCTCTCTAAATTATCTCTCCCTGTCTCTCTAAATTATCTATCCCTGTCTCTAAATTATCTCTCCCTATCTCTCTAAATTAGCTCTCCCTGTCTCTAAATTATCTCTACCTGTCTCTAAATTATCTCTCCCTGTCTCTCTAAATTATCTCTCCCTGCCTCTCTAAGTTATATCTCCCTTTCTCTCTAAATGATCTGTCCCTGCCTCTCTAAATTATCTCTCGTCTCTCTAAATTAGCTCTCCCTGTCTCTAAATTAGCTCTCCCTGCATGTCTAAATTATCTCTACCTGCCTCTCTAAATTATCTCTCCCTGCCTCTCTAAATGATCTCTACCTGCCTCTCTAAATGATCTCTCCCTGCCTCTCTAAATTATCTCTCCCTGCCTCTCTAAATTAGCTCTCCCTGCCCCCCTCGTTCTCCCTGCATCTTTCTCTCCCTCTCTCTCCCCGCCTCCCTCTCTGCAATGCGCTGCTTCATTCATCCTCTGTTGTTGTTTTTCTTGTTGCCTCTCTCCGTACTCTCCCAACTTGTCAGCAATCTCTCTCTTTCCACGCCTCTCTTTCCCTCCTCTCCCCGCACCCTCGCTGCCGTATTTCCTTTCATCGTCTCCGTCTCTCTCCGACTCTCCAATCTGCCTTTGATGGCTCCTCACCGCCCTCTCTGTTATTTCGCTCTCCCTCTCTCCCGGCCGTCTCTTGCGCTTTCTCCACGACAGCCTCAGCATCTGTGTCCCCTTATCGCCGTCTCTCTGTCTCTCTCCATCTCTCCTGGTCTCTCTCTCTCCATCCCTCCTGGTCTCTCTCTCTGTCTCTCTCCATCTCTCCTGGTCTCTCTCTCCATCTCTCCTGGTCTCTCTCTCTGTCTCTCTCCATCTCTCCTGGTCTCTCTCTCTCCATCTCTCCTGGTCTCACTCTCTGTCTCTCTCCATCTCTCCTGGTCTCACTCTCTCTCCATCTCTCCTGGTCTCACTCTCTGTCTCTCTCCATCTCTCCTGGTCTCACTCTATGTCTCTCTCAATCTCTCCTGGTCTCTCTCTCTCCATCTCTCCTGGTCTCTCTGTCTCTCTCCATCTCTCCTGGTCTCTCTCTCTGTCTCTCTCCATCTCTCCTGGTCTCTCTCTGTCTTATCGTCGGTTCCAATCTGTCAATACAACCTCAGTCTCTCTCTCTCTCGCAGTCCGATGAAGTATTCTCGCAGTATCTATCTCTCCGTCTCTCTCGACTACATTGCCACCGTGTCTCCTCCTCCACAGCCCTTGCAACTCTCGATCACATCTGTGGGCTAAAAGAGCTTCACAGCTCATCGGATTCCTCCGGGGCCAATGTCACAGATTTCTGAGTTGTGGCATCGCCCCTCTCTCTGTGTGCGACATCGTCTTGGCAGGTCGCCGACATTGATTGAGAGCAAGCCCTGCTCGCTCTGCTGATGAGACACTGTGTGTCGAAACCCACCGGCCCAGAGACTGTGGCTTTGTCCTGAGGCAAATGCTGCTGCTCTTGCTGCGATGCACTTCGCAAAATAGGCCGTGCGGCTCATGCGATGTGTACAAACTAAAATGTTTGATTCGTTTTTTTTTTATCTTATTTGTATTCTATACTTGTGAGACTGTAGAAACTAGAATGGACGAAGGTAAAAAAAAGATATATAAAAAATTATAAATTTATATACTGTATCGTCATATTCTTGGTTCGTTCGGTAAAGTCACGTAGAAGGGAAACAATAAAATAATAAAAATATAAAACAATAAAATTC